CTGCATGGTTTTCTCGTGGAATGACTCTAACACCTGAAGCATGTCGATCAACACCAGCACAGTTATCTAGTATTTAATAATCGAAAACAAGAAGGGATAGATCTACAATCAGGTGAAAACCTTTTGTGGGGATTTACATTTCTCTATCTGTAGTTATAATTTTAAACTGTCATCTCCATTTTGCGTGCCTTATTGTGTTGATGAAGCATTTTACTAACCAGTCTAAGAAAGGGTGTGGATGATCCTTCTGAGCCAAGTAATATTTGGTGGAGATGGATTCGATTTCGTATAGGCTAATAACCAGGATTTTGGGTCGGAATGATCAGGGAAAGAAGCAAAAGAATATGTCTATGATCAGCTCCAGTTACATAGTGCTGACATTCACTATATAGAATATGGTATTCCCCAAGTATCAGTCACACGGACATTATTATTATTGTTTTGGTACACGGGCATCTGCATTGCAAAATGACTCGTGGTTGCTGCCAAATAAAACATTATCTGTGAATATTAACTATTGAGCTTTTTATTTTTTACCAAGAACGAAACTTGTCCCCGAGCGTTGCTCATCTTGCTGTTCTACTTACTGCTCTTTTTGTGTTAGGGGCACCGCCAATTGAAGTACAATCTACTCGAAACTTGGCATGATTGTTTCTTGGACAATATTGCACATCCCTTGATATTGCACATCGATTTTTGATATAATGTCACCATTGCAAGATAGCGGCGATGACACCATGTTCAGTTCGTTTAAAAACGGAATTCCATGGAAGCCTTTTTTTGTTTACGAAGAACGACATGCAGAATATAATTTTATGTATATATCCTTATAATATTTGATTATTTTCATATATTCATTAATGTATATATTATTTAATGTAATCATCTGACAATACCAAAGTAAGGCAATAAGCCTTCTCATTATATTTAGCGATTTGATTATTTCGTGGAAAACCTTTTAAGCCAATGTTATCTCCATTCAAAGTTATCTTCTTTTTAATAATTTTGTTTTTCATATTTAATAATTTTATCATGGAAAATACTAATTATATCTAAATAAACATATATTTATAAGAGTTGTATCCCTTTTAGCGAATGCTATCTCCATTCAAAGTAATCTGCTTTCTGAGAAATTGTTTTATATTTATTAATTTTATCGTGTAAAAATGCTTATTATGTCTAAATAATCATATATTTACGGGCATACAAGAATAGACAAAGTTTGGAGAGCCTTGGTGTTGCGGTTTGACTAACTAGTATTTGATTTGGGATTATGTTTCTTTTTCATTTACTTTTTAATAGTTTGATAAAATTTCCCCAATATCACACTGCATGGCGTATGCCCGCATTCATTAGACAAGGCGATGTGGAACAGTAGGACGTTAAACCCCATTTCATTATAAAAGTCTTTATGTAAAACTCGTAATAAAGACCGTTTTAGCAATCAAACAATCATTTGATTGGGGGTTATTTCTAATTTCTTTACTTATTACTGTTTTGTGTTTTGAGTACTTATTACATATATGTAATATGAGGAAGATCACGGTGGCTAAGTGGGTAAGACGCTGGCTCGCTAGCCTGGAGGTCGGGTGTTCGATTCCTGCATTAGCCGAGAAAGTTCATCCAGATTTTCCGACGTGGTTCTCCCGTGTCAGTGATGCAGGACCGAGGGCCTGACAAGAACAGCTGTCTAGTCGTTCGGTTGGGACGAAAAAAGCCGAGGTCCCGTGTACACATTGGTGTGCACGTAAAAGATCCCTTGACAGTTGGAATTCGATATAAGAATAGGTCGTAGTGCCGCTGTCCGGGCGTATGCCCGTCTTCACCAGCCCATTCCGGAGCAGAACAGTAGGACGTTAAACACCATATCATATATTGTATGTAATATGTATACATCATAATGCTTGCAATATTGCTACGGCTACAGTCTTATTATTCTGGAGGTTACAACTGTCATTGGATCAACTTAATATAGTTGACAATATCATTTGATCTAACCCAAAAGGGGGAAGGGGTCTAGAGGTGAAATCACAAGGTCTGTCATTAAGTAAAGTGGCGGGTTTTTTGATTCTGTTTGAACGTAGCAAGGAGTAGGTTACCTGTCAAACCTCGAGGATTTTCTCCGACTCCTTCGGTTTCCTCCCACTGCTAAAGACCCCTACGCGCAAGCGAATTATTGAATTGAAATTGAACCATATATGTTAGTCCCGAAATGACATAGTTTGTGTCGATTGGGCTTAAGCTCTCTCTCTCTCTCTCACTCTCTCTCTCTCTAACCCAAAAGTCAACAATGTATAAGGGTCTAACTCTAGAGGGGATCACGTGGCTAAGTGGTTAAGACGCTGGCTCGCTAGCCCGGAGGTCGGGTGTTCGATCCCTGCATTAGCCGAGAAAGTTCATCCAGATTTTCCGGCGTGGTTCCCCCTTGTCAGTGATGCAGAACGGAGGGCCTGACAAGGATAGCTATCTAGTCCTTCGGATGAGACGAAAAACCGAGGTCCCGTGTATACATTGGAATGCACGTAAAAGATGCCTTGGCAGTTGGAATTCGATATAAGTAGTGCCGCTTCCCTCATAGCACACTGTTTTTCCTCATAGCACACTGTATGGCGTATGCCCGTCTTCATTAGTCCAGCATAGGAGTAGAACAGTAGGATGTTAAACCCCATTTCATTTCTAACTATAGATCTAAAGATCATTGCCCAATCTGCCACTCTCCCCCCCCCCTCTCTCCCCTTCTCTCTCTAACCCAAAAGTCAACAATGAATAAGGGACTAACTATAGATCTAATGATCATTGCCCAATCTGCCACGTCACCCTACAAGGAAGCGGATATCAGCTCCCAATTATGCTAATAATACAGCAGTTGTCTTTTCTCAGAATGATACACAGATTAATAGGTAAATGCTTTGTTTACATGACGCATGTGACAAGAGTACGAGAGACCTACGTTCTTTTTTGTTTACTAATAATGTGAAGCCATGCACATCTTCCAAATATAACTTAATAAATCACTATAGTCGTGACTAACTATAGTTGGCGTGTATAGCAACCGTACCGTGTAACTTCGTAGACAAGGTGACTGATCAGTCTACAATAGAAGCCACTGTAAACCTGAAAATTAAAACATCTTGAAATGAGAATATTTAGTTGGATGTTTAATGTAACCGACTACACATGTAAGGTAAGAGATTCCCTATTTTGACGTTAGGGCTGAAATGTAGGCCGTTAAACCCCATTTCATTTCTGTCAAAGTTTGATACATTCTGTACAAATCTAAATACGGCTTTATTTATGGTTTAACTCTGCAAACAGAATACATTTGGAATAAATGTCAAGTTTTAAATGAATTTCAATCAAATTTCTTTTTGTGATATACCCATAACATCAAGTCTTGACTTGGACAAAGTCTGGACATGTAGATAAAAAGCCAACAGAGATTTGGTAAATTACTTCTTCTATTGAACTAAATTATAAAGAAAACAAACAAAGTCTTTTTACTTTTTTAATATTTATTCAATGAAATTTGAATTTAACAAGAAAATCAATAGAATTTTATCGCAAATTTTCTGTTTTATATAATATGTGAACAAGACTATGAAAATAATTCTGTACACGTGAACCGGGCATCATGCAAAGCCCAATTAATGAGTTCGCATAGGTGAAACATTTTTGTTGTATCTTTTGTTCTTTATTTGAGCAAAAAATGCGATCGTTGATTAATATAAATACTTTCTAAATAAATCATCTGATACCAGGATAATCCAATAATTAATGTCACTACATAATTAAATATATACATAGAAAAATAAAATAACGTCCAGTTAAAAAAAATCAGCCATTGTGATATATACATCAAATTGTCTGCTCTTTAATTGAGCGTCTTTATATAAATGGTAACCCGTCAAAACTTTGACAGCCATACCTTAAACATCTTAAAACAACAATATTTATGGTGGGATGCACAATATATTGAGAGGCTGTTACCTTTGCTAAATAATAGAACAGCCCAACAGAAATACAAGCTAAATGATTTATTGATATTTGTTGATAAATATATTATTATCGAACACCTAATATATTAGCACTGACATATTCATGGACATATTAACTATTAAACTTATCATATTGTTGATAAATATAAATATATCTGTACTTTTTATGACCATTAGCCATACAGTATTTAAGCATACGTAGAACAGGTTCAATAGATTATATATGAAAATATCATATTTATTAGAGCGTGGACAGCATTACCTTCGACCACTAGTTGAGTATTATGTATATAAGAATAAGTAGTATAGGGGTATTATTATGGGTCAACGATCGACACTCATAATATAGTTAGTTATACTGTGTAAAATTATATCACAATAATATATATATTTTTGATTGTGTTATTGATGTTATTTAATTTCGTAAATAACTTGTGGGCGTGATAGGAATATGACAAAGTGTTCCATAACTTGTTTCATATTAAAATTATATATTTATACATAAAAAATATTTATTTAAATGCACCGAACCCATTAAAACACGAACTCTGTGGTTTCTGTAGTAAAAAAGACTTGGGTAGTAGAAGATAGTTGGTTAGACGTTCCTGTTACCGATGTAAATAAATTCTATATTTACGAAACTGATATTCTGTTATCTCTAATAGTTTTGCACCATTTTAATCTACTTATATACGGAGGCACCCGATGACATCGAAAGTTAATCATGGTCGTGGCATGTTAATAAATGTCTAATTAATATTTATATATATAACATTTAAGACCCAAAGAAAGACCTGTAATAGGCAGATATAGCTCTTTCATAATGCCTGATTAATATATCTTTCATTATTTCAGGTATACTACTTCCATGCAACATGAAACATTCTAGTTAAGCCAGAATGGGGCTTGATGTGACTCTTGACTAACGCTGACCAGATTTAAATAGAGCTAAAGTCTATAAACTTATGAAAGCAATAGTACTATAATATAGTTATACAGGTCACAATTCTATGGAATACAATTACTGCTTTTTACTGAGCGACGTTTCGACTAGACTTCTCTAGTCTAGTTCAATTACTAAATGCCATTGAAACAGTTTATAATATATTTCCCCTATTTCATGTAATTTACATCTGTACAATATGAGAGTAATATTACTGGTATTGTTTTTCTATGGATGTCTAATCAGAACAAATTCACAGGACCAGATTCGATATCCTGAAGATGCCAGTGTTTATATTGGTGGATTCTTTAATGTTTACGCCCCAGGACCCAATGGTTGTTCCAGTACTGTTGATCCATATTCTATACAGGAATTTGAAGCTGTAAGGTGGATCATAGATAAATTAAATAATAATACATTTTTACCCGGAGGGCATAAAATAGGTAATTAGTTTTATTAGTGGTTAAGTACAAATTGATTCTAACATTCTGTTTATAGGTAATGGCGATGTGTGTAGAGGTGGTGGGAGGGGAGACTGTCGAGACACATCGCTATCCGCAGAGTTGAAAGGTTCAGTGTTGAAAGGTTCAGTGTCTTTTATAATCTCATTATGACAAACTGACGCATGGAATAATATGAACAGTGATACGGTATTACGAAAACTTTATGACATGCGCTTGATGTATTTGCCCGGATCAAGTTATAGACTGATATTTTGTTTAATTCACAATGTTACTGAGACATTGATATATTAGGTGAATCTTTAACACTTTTATTAGACTGATTTACTCATGTGATGACTATTTATCTATTTTTATAAATTTGTATTCAGGTGAGATTGTTATATTTTCTTCTTTTCAATACTCTAATACAATCCCGTGGTAAAATTGGCTGAAGCGGACACGAGTATGTATTCTGTTATTGTGTATTGTAACATGCTTAAGGGTGAATCTTGCGTTTTGATTGGTCAATTAGTCACTGTCGATTCCACAATAACACCCCCTTTAGCAAGGCGAATAACTGCGTATAAATATTACAGTGTACTTTTTTCATTTTGTGCTCAACCATCTTCCTCAACTCAAATCTTTATTGATAAATATCTTCAAGAAATTCCTGCTCAAATGACCATCACACATCCTTTATCCAAACACATCTCTGAAATACATAAAACAGTACAAAATCAGTCATAAATTCATAAATAAACCGTTTTTAGGCATCATAAATTATTCGTAACTAAGCAGCGTGGACAATTTTGTTTTGTTTTTGTTTTTTTGCACTCAGCAATGTTTAGCCTACTTTAAAGTGGAAATTTTAAATCAAGGTTTGATCAAATTCTGAATAACACGATCCGCCTTATAATGAGTCATTAGTCACAAGAAATCGTTCGAAAATATAGTAAGGGAGGCGAAATAGCAGCCAAGATGGACCTAGGAGAACGGAAAATTATGCCAAAATTGACAATACGTCAGAACGGTATACATAGCAACCACTAGAATACTAGGCATCACATAGTTTTATAGGGTATTTCGAGGGATGTAAACAAGAACTAGCAATAAAATTGTGTTGACGGTCTGCAAATAAAATAATAAAGGCTAAAAACTCGCTAAAGTTACTAAAAAAACTTCCAAAGCGTAGCCATCATTGTTGCCAAAGGTCACCCTTGTGTAGTCTCGGTTAACAGGCCGTAACTATTTCAATGACGGTTGGCATTAGGCCTACCGGTCAAAAATCACCGCATTATCACTAATTTACTAATCTTTTAAAAAATCTTCAAACGTTAAAAATATATTATTGGAAATATCCGAATAACATTTTCTTTCATAATTTATTTACCAGCGACCCGAGACGCAAGCATTTTAAAATTGAATTTATCTTCGCATGGATTCAATCACTAATTCGGCACACCTCGGCATAAACATTAGTCCGCCGAGGTTAACCGCAATCTGTTTCACAGAGTATTACGAAAATATTCTAATATCTCTGTAAAAGATGAGATCGTTTAACAAATGACGTCATATCACGCGGCGGCAATTATTGGTTCAATGGCGCGAGCATTGTTTCCATAAGACGTTAAGTTAAGATTCGAGCAGAAAGGAGCCTTTTACTCATTTTAATACCCATTTACACTAAAATAGGAAATAATTTTTACCTACAAATACTTCAAACATCTTTATTTATTTTTCTAATACATACGAAAAATGTTTTAGAATTTAATTTGTCGGAGGAAAAAAGTTAATATTTGTGGCTCATTAAGTCCCATCGCTGCCATCCTTATCATTGATTGTCTCGGCCTAGCGAATATTCACTGCGGATCAGTGTGGGTTAACCGATTGCTGATCTCTGAAGAATGTGTAGTCGCCATTGCAGTTTCAGAAGTTTGAAGTTTACACAATAAAATAAGTTCTTTGAAAATCCTAAAAAGAATAGCATGTTACAATGTCAATAAACACCTCCCGTTTCGCATTAGTACACAAGACGCGTTAGGGTTGCGGTTTTACATTAAAACCCGCAACCCTCACGCGTCTTGGGTCCTAATGATCTCAGAACATGTCTATTGGACAATAAAACCCCTCTAAATGCGAAACAAGAGGTGTTTATCTCCTAAATGCTCGAGGCTATGACACATTTCTGTATTATATCTATGATTATATTATATATTTACAGGTATACACGCCTTTAAAACATGTGGAATATCAGAAAGAGCTGTGTCTAGTGCAATTCAGTTATCACAGACTTATAATAATGATAACCAATCTGCTGTTTTATTTTGTAAGTAATTTGTTCAATTTGTTCACCATGACAGATTTGCTACATAGGGTTTTTATTTTATTATTTGAAAAGTATGTGCGCGATGTATAACAAGGTGGGAGAAGCGGATCATTCTTGAGGCTGGTGGAAATATTTTACGAAGTCACTTGCCGGAATATGGAATTTTGCATGAATAGCGGAATGAGTGTAGTAAAGTCAAACAAGAGTTAATCGAAATTCTCTACGTTTACATTCGGCTGTCAACAGTTTTATCACCTGTCCTTGTCGTTAACCCAAGATATATCAATAGTTCGACAAACCAAAAGTCCAATAGCTTCTAGTATTTCCACCCAAACAGTTGATTTTTGGATTAAACTGGTTAGCTGTACTACCCTATTTGATTTACATCAAATGATTTGCAATATTGTATTTCGCACGAATTACAGTGGTATTGAGAATTAATCAATTGCTTTATTTCATTTCAGCTATACTTGGTCCAACATTTAGTTCCGAAACTAAAGATATGTCACATCTGTTCAGCTTTTTGCCAGAGGCAGATCGCCTGTTGATGTTGAGTTACGGCGCTACTTCATCCAAACTTGCGGACCAGTCCGTTTATAAAAACCTTTACAGAGTTGTTCCACCTGATTCTGTACAGGTTCAAGTAGGTATTCAAGAACAGGCTATCATGTTTAAAATTACAACCATATTACCATAAGAAAATTTAGTTTAAATTCGTGGTTTTAAATAGGATAGCATGATGTCATATTGATTATTATTATTATTATTTATTTAAAAATTATCGTTCTACAAACATACCTGCTATAGAAAGCCTATCTGTGTAATTCTTGGTTATAAAAAGTTTATCGTGATTCTATATTCATTTGATCAGATCTTGGCATTACAAGGGAACTTTACAGATATTAAAAAGAAACATAGGTTGGTAATACATATCTATAGGGTACCAGAGTTTGCCAAGGTTTGCCGAGTGGTACTACTAGTGAACTCATTATACATTAATTATTTGAAGATATTGACTGGTAAAGCAGGGTATGAAATAAGCCTCTTATATGGTAACCTCAAAATAGGTTATGCTAATCTGCCTGAAAATTGGTTACGATGCATCAATTTTCTGCCATATTTGTTTTGAGCTGACCCCCCCCCCCCATTTTGGCATGCAATATGGTACAATTTGGATGATTTTACACCACTATAGATAGGTTGTCTACACGTTAACCCTAGGGTCAATTTAAAGATTAGCCAGGTACCCCTAAGCTCATTAAATCCGTATAGTGCCGCTGTCAGGGCAAAATTTCCCTCATAGCACACTATATGGAATGCCCGTTTTCATTAGCCCAGTTCGGAGCAGTAGGACGTTAAACCCCATTTTATTTCATTTCAGTATAGGCCTACCGTATGTTTGAATGTTTTGACAAGATTTATTTAGCCTAAATTACAATGTTTTGAGAAGGATTTGAAGCAAAATTATGACAAATTAATTAGTTTGAATATGTGTTTAGTCCTATTATAATACCATAAATCACCCAGTTTGTACACAGGAATGTATCTTTAAATAGGCATAGGTACATGTACTATTGGATTGCTATGATAATATTAAACAAAGTCGCGGATACCGTACGTCCAATTAAATGGCATGGGTGCTAAATATTTAAGAAAAGATTTTTATTGACTCATCTTAAACAGGTAAACACAATATCAATATGCATTGCACATCGTCATAACATCACAACAATATTCATAAAATTTAGGTTACCGGTACAATAATTTACATACCTGTAATTAATTAAGAAATAGATAGATATGGTATATCAAGGTTGTGGACCCTCTAGAGACCACAGTTTTTATCCAATTTGGATGAAACTTTAAATATATGTTTTTATCATTAAGATCTTGGTTCCTTTTGATAATTATTAACATTAGTGTTACTTTGCTCTTATTTTTTGAAAAAATTTTCACAAGTTGATTTCCTTTATTTTGTTAATGTAGAATGGTAACGAACTGCTCTTTTCATTTTCTTTGTTTTATTTGTTTCGTTTAAATTTGATTTATCTGTTTAGTTTTTGATTGTTTAATTTTTGTTAATGAAGTTGATTCTTTTAAACTTCGTTTTTATTTTTGAACTCTACTTGGTGTAGGTGTTCATCAGGTAATACCACGACTGAGTTCAATATTGAGATTAGCCGGTTGATTTGTTGGATATAAACCTTTGAATAATAGCGCCTAACAGGCAGCTGTGTTTAATTATGTTCTCCTGATTTTGATTGTTTCTGTGTGTTTGAAGTATATGTTTGTGATATGCGCTTAGAAACACTTCACGTGTAATGAAGCGCTATATAAATCGAACAATAATAATAATAACTAGCATCAGCTGTATACAAACAAACTAGCACATGATGTTAGTCTTCGGTCCAATGACTATCTTGGTGTATTCATATATAATATTGTTAAATAAAGTTTAGCTACTATAGCACACAAACGTGGGTTTGGTTTATAAATATATCCAGACAGTAACCACATAACGTAACAATCGAAATGCCAATTTTGTAATCCTAGGCAAAATTCTTTGTACTTGGGTTGTTAATTTTGTAAATCGTTTTCATACTAGATAACAATATCAAGAATCTGAAACGACTGGATTTTCCCCCCTTTATTTTACCACAATATCTCTTTTGTTTTTGTTTTCTATAGGTGATGTTACAGCTTATGTTAGAATTAAAATGGAATTATGTTGGAATAATTTATGAAGACAATGATTACGGTAATGATGCAGCGCAACAGCTCAGAGTATTGGCAACAGCTAAAGGCATCTGTATTCCAGTTTACCATTCTTTCAATAGCATCAACAGTCAGGAAAGCTTTAAAACCTTCCTTAAGGATGTTCTGGATCTGAAACTAGGTGGAATAATCTATATCGGGGATGATGGTCTTGTAAAATCATTACTGGAGCTGTCCACGTCGATAAGTCATGATACTGAAATAATTATGTCCGAATCAAATCGATTAAGCTCATATTACCTCAAAAGAATAGCCAATGAATATTTTTCCATAGCTCGAGGTATGCTTGTAACAAGTGTTCCTAAAATTGACATTAATGAATTTGATGAATATTGGAGGAACATCTATACAATGAATTTTAGTCACACTTGGGTAAATGTTATACCAAATATAGCACAAGAGATCCCCCAGCAATCCGTTTATATGAATTATGCGGTGAAAGGAATTCTGATATTAGCCAATTTGTTTAAGAAACTTCAACAAAAGACATGCACGAACGTCAACGATATAATCTGTTCGCAGCTGAGACAATTGCCCAAGCAGACCTACATCGATGAACTGGGCCAATCCAGAACGAACCTAACCGAAGCATTTCCATTTACCGATCATATGTTCTTGAACACAGTATCACAGGACATAACCTTTGGGGAAAATCGAGAAATCATCTATGGTCCCGAGTATCAAACGTATGAAATTTATAATTTCCAACAATGTAATGGGTTGAATGACTGTGAATTTCTTAAGGTGAGTTCCAGTTCTTTCCTTTCTTCTTATAAACCATTAACACCAATATGAGTTGGTCAAAGGGGTACGATGGCTTAGTGAGTACGGTATCGGGTAACTGACTAGTAGTTTCCGGGTTAGATCCAGGTACTGGCCGAGCAAAGCACGGATTCACCATGTCGGTGATGAAGAAAGGGGGTTATAGCAAGTATGCGCAACACCAAGGTCTACGTGTATACATATTGGCTCGGCAGTTAGGATTTCATGATGAGGAGGCGTGGTACTGGTCCCTCTTTATTTACAAGATTTGTGCAGAAAAGTAGGACTGAAACCCTATTTTATTTTATTTGTGATTTCAGAGAGTAAAACTGTGATCTTGTATTCACTCTGAATCTATTTATTTTCAATACAGGTCGGTAATTACAAAGACGATATTCTGCAAATAAACAAAAGTGTTATACAAAGTTATCCACTTGGAGAAAACCAAGGACCTTACAATCAGCAGCCAACTGCCCAATGTCCTAACGGAACCGACTGTATAAAATGTATTCCGTCTGATATATCTGACCATGTGATATTTGTGGAAGGAGACTGGTATGTTGTGGCCGTTGTCCCTGTGTTTGTACCTGATGAAACAAATACATTACTCTGCACAAACACGATAAGAGATTCTTTAGGAACTGACATCGCTGAAAGCATCAAATTTGCTATTGAGGAGATTAACCACCCAAACAACACATTGATATCTTCTAAAAAGAAAGTAGGGTTGATTGTGATAAATGGTTGTGCATCTGAACTTGTAATTAAAGACAAAATGTTACGTTTACACAAAGGAACTTATCAACTCAGACCCGGAATGAAAAGTTCAGACATTAATCACAGAATTCTTGGTTATGTTGGAGGGATGAGCGGAAGTATGAGTGCGGCCATAGCTGAAGTTCTGGCTAAACTTGGTTACGTTCAAGTATCCTACGCCTCGACCAGCCCACTTCTTAGCGATAGAACTCTGTATCCTTACTTTCTGAGAATACCTACTGCAGACGACCAACAAGCAAAAGTCGTTATTGATATAGTTACCTCCCTTGGTTCAAACATCATCCAGGTTATTTACACCGAGGGTGCCTATGGAGAAGGTGCTTATTCCACATTGGAGAAACTTGGCGAGAACGCGGGCATATGCGTTATAGGTCATAAAGTTCCTGTAGCCACCGACTACACGTTGTATAATGGTTTGCTGGCTAAGTTAAGGGAAACTCCACAAGCTAAGTTAGTGGTGACTTTTGTAAGGTCACATGTTATTGAGCAAGTAGTAAAAGCTGTGACTGAGAGAATGGCGGAAACTGAATTCATATTTATTGGATCTGAAACCTGGGGAAGCAGAGAAAGCGTCATTCCTGAACAGCAACGCAAAGTTTATGGTTCACTGAGTATTGCTTTAGAGTTGCCTCCCATTCCGGCATTCATCTCCTATCTCACCAAGCAAATTATCAATGACCCGTCTGATCCATGGCTCCGTCACTTCTTAGAAAACATGGGAAAGTGCATATTCACCGGAAGTTTCCAAAGAGCGGGAAAAGACGAAGTCATTGGTAAAGCCAGAGAATGTGACTTAGAAAGTTTAGTGATGTCACTTTATGACCAATGGATACCATTTGCTGTGGCCTCAACAAAGGCTTTGGTAAAAGGCTTAGAAAATGTTCTCAGTTCAACAGAATGTGGCCAGCCTGCAACGTCGTGCCCTGAACAAAACCCCACTCTGTTGGCAGAATACATAAAGAAGGTATGTATCCCTTTCTTGTAACGAAAAGATTCTAAGAGCTTAGCTTTCCATAATTTCGATAGATAAGTAGATCAGGAAATGTGACACTACGGTGTCGTTAAATAGATCAATTATGAACTACTTCCCCTTAGTGATACAGCCCGTGATACTGTCGTCTAGAAGTTTTCTTTGACTTCACATCATGATAACAATTTCCAATGTTAAATTAAGACTGGGACACTTTTTACGTTAACGATGTTTTTATATCTTTACAACATCCAGAATACAGGAAACTAGACACACATCTATGACATTAAATATAAGCTACATATAAGTTCTCTCTCCCCAGCTTGTGTTTACTGGATTACGATTAACATGTTTACTGACGTACCCCCTAACATCATATGGCTCTCCTACGACTTAACGAGGTACTCTAATCCGAATGATGTTTATTCCCCAGCCTCTCAGCCCAGGAGGCTGTGGTGTTCCGGGCTTCCCAATGATATCGAAAGGAAATTCAACCGCGCACGTTCGTTATAAAGAAGTTACGTGCATGAGTCATATCGAGCCCCGGGAAATTGACCAGGTACCTCCTTTATCGGATTGGTCAGCTGCACAGACGCTACCCTGGATTTCAACACAGTATACTTATATGGGCACCTCGGATGTCGGCTAATTATAACCACGTTTCTAACACATGGGACTACCATATTTGGATTATCAGACTACGATGGCATTGCCCGACTTTAGACCACCAGTGTTGTTAGCCTATTTCTTGTTGTCGGTGGTACTAGCTAACGACGACGAAACATTAACCAGAACCTCTCTACATAACTTAGGTAACCTCCACAGTATATAGACCCCATAGAGTTATAGAAACATATCACGCTTAGAACTTAAAGCCAAATCCCACCAGTGTTAGAGAGAAAGAAATTAAAATTATCAAAATACTTAAATGATCTTCATAACTTTCATCCTGCCTTCATTAGACCGGTTAGTGCAAGAAACTTCATTGCTTCATTCCATCATTCATATATTCGTAGAATATGTTCCAATAGATCTCAACGATTACAATTTTTTTAGCGCATGCGCAGTTTGGTGACTCAAGTAAAGATAAGTAATATTGGATTGGAATTTAGTACGTTTTTATTTTTATATTTACAGAATGTAAAGTTAGATTTATATGGTAAAGGTAGCCAGGAAAGAGTTTTTGATGACAATGGTGATGGTGTTGTCAAATATAAAATAATGCATGTTACTTCAGGAGAAAAACTATACAAACAGGTAGGCATTGCTTTCCTTTTAAAAAATATATAAATATCTTGCTTACAAATAAATTCGGTAAATTTAGCTCTTTCGAGCTTAGCACGGACTTTCTTTCAAGTTAATTTGCTCAAACGTCACGCATACATGGTTTGATATTCTTTAATGGAGCCACGGTGGCGCACAAACCAGGAAGTCCCAGTTTCGTGTTGAGTATGACATGGCTCTAGTTTACTAACGAACAGATTCCGGTTCCAGATAAGTATGGCATAGCTCTAGCTCTATATTTATTCAGTAACTTGGCGGAGGGGAGGGGGTCGGATAACAAGCAAAATATATAAACCCCTCTTCCGGTTTCAAATAAAGCACATAATATTAAGTGCAAAAAAATGAATACATAAAAAATGAAATTATATAAATATATAACCCATATTACTATATTCATTTACACATAAATTTGGGGTATTCAATATATTACTTAATGTGTCGCACTTGACCATTAAACTACACATAGTGCTAAGAATCTTCTACTGTATTGCGACGTTTGCATTCAAGATTATTTATTTGTCTTGCAAATTTATGAAAATTTACATTACTGCAGCCCAATCTTAGTTTAGTATGTATAATTTGATTTTAAATAAAAGATAGGTATTTTTGGATCATGTTTAGAGATTTCTTGTTTTAAATTTTATGAGTGATGAAATTATTATGGACTGATTTAAGCTGTTCAAGATTCGGATAGCTGATGGAATTAATGAATTATAATACTGGTTTACTTCTCAGACTGTATGAGGATAATTTTAATTTAATGTGGTTGGACAAATAATTTGGAACCGTGCTATTAATGATTTTATATATTGTCTGTATTTTTTCCCCTTTTCTTCTTTCATTCAACGTAATAATACCAGTTTCTAGATAAAGTAAACGGTGGTTAGTTCCCTTTACAGCCCCACAATAGTACGTAAGGTGTTAAGTTGAAGGTGTTCTAATTGATCTGTGCAACTATCCCAAATAATGTCGGTGTAGTCTAGATGCGGTAGTATATAAGAAGGGTAAATTATGGAAAGATATTTTCTATTTAACCTGTACTTTAGGGATCTCGAACAAATGATTAACTTTGATACTTTATTATGTGGATATCCCATTCAGGTTTGTGCTGAAAGACAAGTCCTAAGTGGTTTTACACATTGATCAGTGTCCATGTGTGATTTTGTTTCTGTGGGGTTGAAAGAAACCAGAGATTAGGTTTAAGGTTGAAGTTATTGGGGGAGAAAACTGACACCAATATCGAATTCCTCCAATCTGATTGCTTTTATAAATCAACATAGTGAATATATTTTGATATTTTATCAGGTTGGGTCATGGTCCAAATCACAAGGCATCATCTTCAATAAAGATTCGTTATATTACCCTGTTAAAGATTATAATTCTGTATGTCTAACAGATTATACATGCAACAAATGTTTCCCTGACAAGATGGAGTAAGTATGCATAAAATAAAAGTTTTATCATTTTCTATGGACATCATCAACTTAACGGTTAAACAAAATTAACACTTTTATTGAATGTGCCCCGAATTGAACTGGTGGTTTCAGGACGGTCTACCGGTCTGCATAAGTTACCAGTAATGGTAGTTATTTAGGGTGACTCTGGAATATTATACTGAACGAAAAGACATGATTAGTGATTGGGTGGAGGGCCTATTTTAGCGTGCCTCTGAATAAATAATCCGAGTTTTGAACAAATTCTATGTAGCCTTGTGATTCTGGCAAAATTGTATAGGGAAAGTTTGCTATCATTATATGATCATCGACTACTTTCGATGTCTGTTTCAAAAGTTTTGTATTGTTGACGTATTCCCGCCACCACCCAAAGCACGAAAATTACATAGCAGAACACTGTCAATTTAATTCTGTTACATTTTGGATATAAAAGTGTCAGCGTGATATCATGTTATGGGAAGTCAAACTCAGGAATTTTTACGGAACCCCCAAACACCGGAAACCGTGCTTAGCCAGTAAAACCTTACATCTGGCCGTTTCATATATTAAGTGGACGTTAAACCCCAATTTTATTTCATATATATTATTTAAAATTTCCAGGGAAGAAAGTCCTAAGCAGTCAACAGATGGGATGATTCCTGCTATAGTTGTGTTGGCTGTGCTAACGTGTCTTTTGGGTATTTCTGTAGTCATCCTAGCCATTCATTGTCATCGATCACGTCGTGATAGACTATTACAGGAACCACATTATGCTGAACCGGAAAACATAAAGGAGTTCAACAACAGAAATGATAAAGGTATAACTATATAGCTACTTATATTTTAAAACAAATATATGTATTGATTCTATGATATCATTTACGGAATATAGTAAATGCAAAAATACTTCAGTTACAGTTAGACCAATCAGGCCATATCATGTTTCATTGGCGTGCAGAAAGGTGGCAGATGGTACCCAACCAAAGGATGAATTTGTTTCACAAGCTGATGTTCTTAAATTGAATTAAACGTTTACTTCATCTGTTTTTACATATTTAAAATGTGCCCCTGTCTCACATTTCTGAATACTAAACCTCATGCTTGGGCATACAATCAAGGAGTTGGCCCCCAGCATCAGCGAACCTGTGAACTTCACTGTTCTGTATGTAGCAAGTAGCTTTCTCGGTGATAAGTCTAATTTACTTACTTTCATTATGGTTGTTATTACAGGCAGAAATTCGTCCAATCAGATTACTTCAGGTATGTTCTTAGCAGCCCCATCCACTGGCGGTACAGGATCGGACACTGGTGCGGCAGATGATATGTATTTAACACCTCAATCACCTCAACCAGATGATACCTATTTAAGAGTCATTCCATGAGAAAACCATGCAAAATCGTGCAGAATCGGGAAGGAGGGGGGTCGGCAGATCGAGTTCATCTCCGGGGGATTTTATGGACTCCCCCTGACTACTTCACAGCCAGAAGGGCCGATTTCAAAATTTCACCGTTATTGAGAAACAACCTCTGAGTAATTTTTTGGCCAATTTTGCCATTTTTCAGGTCATTTTTTGTCAATGTTCAGCCACCTATTGTGGCGAGTCTAGGGTTTGGATGAAAATGGTGGTGATTGGTGATGTTAGTGGGGGTCTTCCTGTGCCCCAGTGTGAAGACCATGAAGTCGCAGCTATTCTCTGGGAGCAATGATCAGCCAAATTGTAAGATATGGTGAATTAAACAGAAAATATACACCTGCGAAGATTAGCTCTATTTTCTTTGATGCGGGGGTAGGTCAAAATATCGAAATGGTTTTATGCACAGCTCGACCCCCTCTATCGATATAAGAAATAAAATCTCTGTCACCTCTCTTCAATCAATGCGAAATCATAAGTCAAAGTTGGTGAATTTTCCCTATTGTAAATCTCTCAATCTCTATGAAATGGCCAACTACTTTCATTCAGGGTAAGCCAGCGCTCTCCGTTTCTTCACCAAATCATTCGCCCGCGCTCAATGGTAGCAGCTTGAAACCCCCTCGAGCAAAACTAGTCTCTTTGATGGGGCTTGGTATCCAATCCAAGATGGCCGTGCCCGAAAGCGCACAAAATTGCGGTTTTTCCTCATGTTTGGCCATTAAATGTGGTACATATCCCAGATATGACCAAGAGAATCACTTCATACGATTGAAAAATGTACTATGGACATTAAGGCCCGTCCTTTAGCACACCACATAGCAATTAGTGATGTGAGAACCGAATGGGAGCTGATTTCTTGACGAAGCTGCATTAAATGGAATATTCCAAAAGGATGCATGCTGCCACATCTAAGGAGAAGCATACAAAGACCGCGTTGTGTCACTTGGAATCAACTTATACCTATTGGAACGGTTAAGTGAAATAAAATACTATTGAAAAAAAGAGGGAAGAAATTGTGTCTTTGAAATATCGATGGAAACCTTGTGTGTGTGCTCCACCACAATCAAATTAGCAGAAAACAGTTGTGCGGTGATACTCCAGTTGACTGAGTTAAGCGATGGGCTTCAGAAGTCCTCAAACCAGCTGCATTGAGTCTGATATAGCTGTAATACCTTTAATAAAGGCCAGCTCTCTGCTTTTTTAAAACTTTGGCAGCATTAAAAAATTCTTGTTAATTTTAGAATTTCTTCCTTCTATTCTATGTATATGCCGGAAATAATATACTGCCCATAATGAGGAAATGGGCTGGCAAGAGAGCCAAGTTCCTACACCGCCTCAGGGTAGTTCCTCAAATAAAAAATATGGCATAGGTTCAAAAATTCAACTTCATCATATGATCATTTTCGGAGCCCAAAACTGAATTTGTACATGAAGGACATTTCTACCAGGGGCCCTGGTCTTCACACAGGGGCACAGGAAGACCCCCACTAACATCACCATTCACCACCATTTCCATCCGAACCCTAGACTCGCTACAATAGGTGGCTGAAAATTGATCAAAAATAACATGAAAAATGGCAAAATTGGCCAAAAATCACCCAGACGCTGTTTCTCAATAACGGTGAAATTATGAGATCGGCCCTGCTGGCTGTGAAGTAGTCTTGAGGAGTCCATAAAATTCCCCCGAGATGAACTTGATCTGCCGACCGCCACCTCCCCACCCTCTGCATGGTTTTCTCGTGGAATGACTCTAACACCTGAAGCATGTCGATCAACACCAGCACAGTTATCTAGTATTTAATAATCGAAAACAAGAAGGGATAGATCTACAATCAGGTGAAAACCTTTTGTGGGGATTTACATTTCTCTATCTGTAGTTATAATTTTAAACTGTCATCTCCATTTTGCGTGCCTTATTGTGTTGATGAAGCATTTTACTAACCAGTCTAAGAAAGGGTGTGGATGATCCTTCTGAGCCAAGTAATATTTGGTGGAGATGGATTCGATTTCGTATAGGCTAATAACCAGGATTTTGGGTCGGAATGATCAGGGAAAGAAGCAAAAGAATATGTCTATGATCAGCTCCAGTTACATAGTGCTGACATTCACTATATAGAATATGGTATTCCCCAAGTATCAGTCACACGGACATTATTATTATTGTTTTGGTACACGGGCATCTGCATTGCAAAATGACTCGTGGTTGCTGCCAAATAAAACATTATCTGTGAATATTAACTATTGAGCTTTTTATTTTTTACCAAGAACGAAACTTGTCCCCGAGCGTTGCTCATCTTGCTGTTCTGCTTACTGCTCTTTTTGTGTTAGGGGCACCGCCAATTGAAGTACAATCTACTCGAAACTTGGCATGATTGTTTCTTGGACAATATTGCACATCCCTTGATATTGCACATCTATTTTTGATATAATGTCACCATTGCAAGATAGCGGCGATGACACCATGTTCAGTTCGTTTAAAAACGGAATTCCATGGAAGCCTTTTTTTGTTTACGAAAAACGACATGCTGAATATAATTTTATGTATATATCCTTATAATATTTGATTATTTTCATATATTCATGAATGTATATATTATTTAATGTAATCATGTGACAATACCAAAGTAAGGCAATAAGCCTTCTCATTATATTTAGCGATTTGATTATTTCGTGGAAAACCTTTTAAGCCAATGTTATCTCAATTCAAAGTTATCTTCTTTTTAATAATTTTGTTTTTCATATTTAATAATTTTATCATGGAAAATACTAATTATATCTAAATAAACATATATTTATAAGAGTTGTATCCCTTTTAGCGAATGCTATCTCCATTCAAAGTAATCTGCTTTCTGAGAAATTGTTTTATATTTATTAATTTTATCGTGTAAAAATGCTTATTATGTCTAAATAATCATATATTTACGGGCATACAAGAATAGACAAAGTTTGGAGAGCCTTGGTGTTGCGGTTTGACTAACTAGTATTTGATTTGGGATTATGTTTCTTTTTCATTTACTTTTTAATAGTTTGATAAAATTTCCCCAATATCACACTGCATGGCGTATGCCCGCATTCATTAGACAAGGCGATGTGGAACAGTAGGACGTTAAACCCCATTTCATTATAAAAGTCTTTATGTAAAACTCGTAATAAAGACCGTTTTAGCAATCAAACAATCATTTGATTGGGGGTTATTTCTAATTTCTTTACTTATTACTGTTTTGTGTTTTGAGTACTTATTACATATATGTAATATGAGGAAGATCACGGTGGCTAAGTGGGCAAGACGCTGGCTCGCTAGCCTGGAGGTCGGGTGTTCGATTCCTGCATTAGCCGAGAAAGTTGATCCAGATTTTCCGACGTGGTTCTCCCGTGTCAGTGATGCAGGACCGAGGGCCTAGCAAGAACAGCTGTCTAGTCGTTCGGTTGGGACGAAAAAAGCCGAGGTCCCGTGTACACATTGGTGTGCACGTAAAAGATCCCTTGACAGTTGGAATTCGATATAAGAATAGGTAGTAGTGCCGCTGTCCGGGCGTATGCCCGTCTTCACCAGCCCATTCCGGAGCAGAACAGTAGGACGTTAAACACCATATCATATATTGTATGTAATATGTATACATCATAATGCTTGCAATATTGCTACGGCTACAGTCTTATTATTCTGGAGGTTACAACTGTCATTGGATCAACTTAATATAGTTGACAATATCATTTGATCTAACCCAAAAGGGGGAAGGGGTCTAGAGGTGAAATCACAAGGTCTGTCATTAAGTAAAGTGGCGGGTTTTTTGATTCTGTTTGAACGTAGCAAGGAGTAGGTTACCTGTCAAACCTCGAGGATTTTCTCCGACTCCTTCGGTTTCCTCCCACTGCTAAAGACCCCTACGCGCAAGCGAATTATTGAATTGAAATTGAACCATATATGTTAGTCCCGAAATGACATAGTTTGTGTCGATTGGGCTTAAGCTCTCTCTCTCTCTCTCTCTCTCTCACTCTCTCTCTCTCTAACCCAAAAGTCAACAATGTATAAGGGTCTAACTATAGAGGGGATCACGTGGCTAAGTGGTTAAGACGCTGGCTCGCTAGCCCGGAGGTCGGGTGTTCGATCCCTGCATTAGCCGAGAAAGTTCATCCAGATTTTCAGGCGTGGTTCCCCCTTGTCAGTGATGCAGAACGGAGGGCCTGACAAGGATAGCTATCTAGTCCTTCGGATGAGACGAAAAACCGAGGTCCCGTGTATACACTGGAATGCACGTAAAAGATGCCTTGGCAGTTCGAATTCGATATAAGAGTAGGCGATAGTGCCGCTGCCCGGGAAAAATTTCCCTCATAGCACACTGTTTTTCCTCATAGCACACTGTATGGCGTATGCCCGTCTTCATTAGTCCAGAGAAGTAGAACAGTAGGATGTTAAACCCCATTTCATTTCTAACTATAGATCTAAAGATCATTGCCAAATCTGCAACTCTCTCCCCCTCTCTCTCTAACCCAAAAGTCAACAATGAATAAGGGACTAACTATAGATCTAATGATCATTGCCCAATCTGCCACGTCACCCTTCAAGGAAGCGGATATCAGCTCCCAATTATGCTAATAATACAGCAGTTGTCTTTTCTCAGAATGATACACAGATTAATAGGTAAATGCTTTGTTTACATGACGCATGTGACAAGAGTACGAGAGACCTACGTTCTTTTTTGTTTACTAATAATGTGAAGCCATGCACATCTTCCAAATATAACTTAATAAACCACTATAGTCGTGACTAACTGTACTTAGCGTGTATAGCAACCGTACCGTGTAACTTCGTAGACAAGGTGACTGATCAGTCTACAATAGAAGCCACTGTAAACCTGAAAATTAAAACATCTTGAAATGAGAATATTTAGTTGGATGTTTAATGTAACCGACTACACATGTAAGGTAAGAGATTCCCTATTTTGACGTTAGGGCTGAAATGTAGGCCGTTAAACCCCATTTCATTTCTGTCAAAGTTTGATACATTCTGTACAAATCTAAATACGGCTTTATTTATGGTTTAACTCTGCAAACAGAATACATTTGGAATAAATGTCAAGTTTTAAATGAATTTCAATCAAATTTCTTTTTGTGATATACCCATAACATCAAGTCTTGACTTGGACAAAGTCTGGACATGTAGATAAAAAGCCAACAGAGATTTGGTAAATTACTTCTTCTATTGAACTAAATTATAAAGAAAACAAACAAAGTCTTTTTACTTTTTTAATATTTATTCAATGAAATTTGAATTTAACAAGAAAATCAATAGAATTTTATCGCAAATTTTCTGTTTTATATAATATGTGAACAAGACTATGAAAATAATTCTGTACACGTGAACCGGGCATCATGCAAAGCCCAATTAATGAGTTCGCATAGGTGAAACATTTTTGTTGTATCTTTTGTTCTTTATTTGAGCAAAAAATGCGATCGTTGATTAATATAAATACTTTCTAAATAAATCATCTGATACCAGGATAATCCAATAATTAATGTCACTACATAATTAAATATATACATAGAAAAATAAAATAACGTCCAGTTAAAAAAAATCAGCCATTGTGATATATACATCAAATTGTCTGCTCTTTAATTGAGCGTCTTTATATAAATGGTAACCCGTCAAAACTTTGACAGCCATACCTTAAACATCTTAAAACAACAATATTTATGGTGGGATGCACAATATATTGAGAGGCTGTTACCTTTGCTAAATAATAGAACAGCCCAACAGAAATACAAGCTAAATGATTTATTGATATTTGTTGATAAATATATTATTATCGAACACCTAATATATTAGCACTGACATATTCATGGACATATTAACTATTAAACTTATCATATTGTTGATAAATATAAATATATCTGTACTTTTTATGACCATTAGCCATACAGTATTTAAGCATACGTAGAACAGGTTCAATAGATTATATATGAAAATATCATATTTATTAGAGCGTGGACAGCATTACCTTCGACCACTAGTTGAGTATTATGTATATAAGAATAAGTAGTATAGGGGTATTATTATGGGTCAACGATCGACACTCATAATATAGTTAGTTATACTGTGTAAAATTATATCACAATAATATATATATTTTTGATTGTGTTATTGATGTTATTTAATTTCGTAAATAACTTGTGGGCGTGATAGGAATATGACAAAGTGTTCCATAACTTGTTTCATATTAAAATTATATATTTATACATAAAAAATATTTATTTAAATGCACCGAACCCATTAAAACACGAACTCTGTGGTTTCTGTAGTAAAAAAGACTTGGGTAGTAGAAGATAGTTGGTTAGACGTTCCTGTTACCGATGTAAATAAATTCTATATTTACGAAACTGATATTCTGTTATCTCTAATAGTTTTGCACCATTTTAATCTACTTATATACGGAGGCACCCGATGACATCGAAAGTTAATCATGGTCGTGGCATGTTAATAAATGTCTAATTAATATTTATATATATAACATTTAAGACCCAAAGAAAGACCTGTAATAGGCAGATATAGCTCTTTCATAATGCCTGATTAATATATCTTTCATTATTTCAGGTATACTACTTCCATGCAACATGAAACATTCTAGTTAAACCAGAATGGGGCTTGATGTGACTCTTGACTAACGCTGACCAGATTTAAATAGAGCTAAAGTCTATAAACTTATGAAAGCAATAGTACTATAATATAGTTATACAGGTCACAATTCTATGGAATACAATTACTGCTTTTTACTGAGCGACGTTTCGACTAGACTTCTCTAGTCTAGTTCAATTACTAAATGCCATTGAAACAGTTTATAATATATTTCCCCTATTTCATGTAATTTACATCTGTACAATATGAGAGTAATATTACTGGTATTGTTTTTCTATGGATGTCTAATCAGAACAAATTCACAGGACCAGATTCGATATCCTGAAGATGCCAGTGTTTATATTGGTGGATTCTTTAATGTTTACGCCCCAGGACCCAATGGTTGTTCCAGTACTGTTGATCCATATTCTATACAGGAATTTGAAGCTGTAAGGTGGATCATAGATAAATTAAATAATAATACATTTTTACCCGGAGGGCATAAAATAGGTAATTAGTTTTATTAGTGGTTAAGTACAAATTGATTCTAACATTCTGTTTATAGGTAATGGCGATGTGTGTAGAGGTGGTGGGAGGGGAGACTGTCGAGACACATCGCTATCCGCAGAGTTGAAAGGTTCAGTGTTGAAAGGTTCAGTGTCTTTTATAATCTCATTATGACAAACTGACGCATGGAATAATATGAACAGTGATACGGTATTACGAAAACTTTATGACATGCGCTTGATGGATTTGCCCGGATCAAGTTATAGACTGATATTTTGTTTAATTCACAATGTTACTGAGACATTGATATATTAGGTGAATCTTTAACACTTTTATTAGACTGATTTACTCATGTGATGACTATTTATCTATTTTTATAAATTTGTATTCAGGTGAGATTGTTATATTTTCTTCTTTTCAATACTCTAATACAATCCCGTGGTAAAATTGGCTGAAGCGGACACGAGTATGTATTCTGTTATTGTGTATTGTAACATGCTTAAGGGTGAATCTTGCGTTTTGATTGGTCAATTAGTCACTGTCGATTCCACAATAACACCCCCTTTAGCAAGGCGAATAACTGCGTATAAATATTACAGTGTACTTTTTTCATTTTGTGCTCAACCATCTTCCTCAACTCAAATCTTTATTGATAAATATCTTCAAGAAATTCCTGCTCAAATGACCATCACACATCCTTTATCCAAACACATCTCTGAAATACATAAAACAGTACAAAATCAGTCATAAATTCATAAATAAACCGTTTTTAGGCATCATAAATTATTCGTAACTAAGCAGCGTGGACAATTTTGTTTTGTTTTTGTTTTTTTGCACTCAGCAATGTTTAGCCTACTTTAAAGTGGAAATTTTAAATCAAGGTTTGATCAAATTCTGAATAACACGATCCGCCTTATAATGAGTCATTAGTCACAAGAAATCGTTCGAAAATATAGTAAGGGAGGCGAAATAGCAGCCAAGATGGACCTAGGAGAACGGAAAATTATGCCAAAATTGACAATACGTCAGAACGGTATACATAGCAACCACTAGAATACTAGGCATCACATAGTTTTATAGGGTATTTCGAGGGATGTAAACAAGAACTAGCAATAAAATTGTGTTGACGGTCTGCAAATAAAATAATAAAGGCTAAAAACTCGCTAAAGTTACTAAAAAAACTTCCAAAGCGTAGCCATCATTGTTGCCAAAGGTCACCCTTGTGTAGTCTCGGTTAACAGGCCGTAACTATTTCAATGACGGTTGGCATTAGGCCTACCGGTCAAAAATCACCGCATTATCACTAATTTACTAATCTTTTAAAAAATCTTCAAACGTTAAAAATATATTATTGGAAATATCCGAATAACATTTTCTTTCATAATTTATTTACCAGCGACCCGAGACGCAAGCATTTTAAAATTGAATTTATCTTCGCATGGATTCAATCACTAATTCGGCACACCTCGGCATAAACATTAGTCCGCCGAGGTTAACCGCAATCTGTTTCACAGAGTATTACGAAAATATTCTAATATCTCTGTAAAAGATGAGATCGTTTAACAAATGACGTCATATCACGCGGCGGCAATTATTGGTTCAATGGCGCGAGCATTGTTTCCATAAGACGTTAAGTTAAGATTCGAGCAGAAAGGAGCCTTTTACTCATTTTAATACCCATTTACACTAAAATAGGAAATAATTTTTACCTACAAATACTTCAAACATCTTTATTTATTTTTCTAATACATACGAAAAATGTTTTAGAATTTAATTTGTCGGAGGAAAAAAGTTAATATTTGTGGCTCATTAAGTCCCATCGCTGCCATCCTTATCATTGATTGTCTCGGCCTAGCGAATATTCACTGCGGATCAGTGTGGGTTAACCGATTGCTGATCTCTGAAGAATGTGTAGTCGCCATTGCAGTTTCAGAAGTTTGAAGTTTACACAATAAAATAAGTTCTTTGAAAATCCTAAAAAGAATAGCATGTTACAATGTCAATAAACACCTCCCGTTTCGCATTAGTACACAAGACGCGTTAGGGTTGCGGTTTTACATTAAAACCCGCAACCCTCACGCGTCTTGGGTCCTAATGATCTCAGAACATGTCTATTGGACAATAAACCCCCTCTAAATGCGAAACAAGAGGTGTTTATCTCCTAAATGCTCGAGGCTATGACACATTTCTGTATTATATCTATGATTATATTATATATTTACAGGTATACACGCCTTTAAAACATGTGGAATATCAGAAAGAGCTGTGTCTAGTGCAATTCAGTTATCACAGACTTATAATAATGATAACCAATCTGCTGTTTTATTTTGTAAGTAATTTGTTCAATTTGTTCACCATGACAGATTTGCTACATAGGGTTTTTATTTTATTATTTGAAAAGTATGTGCGCGATGTATAACAAGGTGGGAGAAGCGGATCATTCTTGAGGCTGGTGGAAATATTTTACGAAGTCACTTGCCGGAATATGGAATTTTGCATGAATAGCGGAATGAGTGTAGTAAAGTCAAACAAGAGTTAATCGAAATTCTCTACGTTTACATTCGGCTGTCAACAGTTTTATCACCTGTCCTTGTCGTTAACCCAAGATATATCAATAGTTCGACAAACCAAAAGTCCAATAGCTTCTAGTATTTCCACCCAAACAGTTGATTTTTGGATTAAACTGGTTAGCTGTACTACCCTATTTGATTTACATCAAATGATTTGCAATATTGTATTTCGCACGAATTACAGTGGTATTGAGAATTAATCAATTGCTTTATTTCATTTCAGCTATACTTGGTCCAACATTTAGTTCCGAAACTAAAGATATGTCACATCTGTTCAGCTTTTTGCCAGAGGCAGATCGCCTGTTGATGTTGAGTTACGGCGCTACTTCATCCAAACTTGCGGACCAGTCCGTTTATAAAAACCTTTACAGAGTTGTTCCACCTGATTCTGTACAGGTTCAAGTAGGTATTCAAGAACAGGCTATCATGTTTAAAATTACAACCATATTACCATAAGAAAATTTAGTTTAAATTCGTGGTTTTAAATAGGATAGCATGATGTCATATTGATTATTATTATTATTATTTATTTAAAAATTATCGTTCTACAAACATACCTGCTATAGAAAGCCTATCTGTGTAATTCTTGGTTATAAAAAGTTTATCGTGATTCTATATTCATTTGATCAGATCTTGGCATTACAAGGGAACTTTACAGATATTAAAAAGAAACATAGGTTGGTAATACATATCTATAGGGTACCAGAGTTTGCCAAGGTTTGCCGAGTGGTACTACTAGTGAACTCATTATACATTAATTATTTGAAGATATTGACTGGTAAAGCAGGGTATGAAATAAGCCTCTTATATGGTAACCTCAAAATAGGTTATGCTAATCTGCCTGAAAATTGGTTACGATGCATCAATTTTCTGCCATATTTGTTTTGAGCTGACCCCCCCCCCCCATTTTGGCATGCAATATGGTACAATTTGGATGATTTTACACCACTATAGATAGGTTGTCTACACTTTAACCCTAGGGTCAATTTAAAGATTAGTCAGGTACCCCTAAGCTCATTAAATCCGTATAGTGCCGCTGTCAGGGCAAAATTTCCCTCATAGCACACTATATGGAATGCCCGTTTTCATTAGCCCAGTTCGGAGCAGTAGGACGTTAAACCCCATTTTATTTCATTTCAGTATAGGCCTACCGTATGTTTGAATGTTTTGACAAGATTTATTTAGCCTAAATTACAATGTTTTGAGAAGGATTTGAAGCAAAATTATGACAAATTAATTAGTTTGAATATGTGTTTAGTCCTATTATAATACCATAAATCACCCAGTTTGTACACAGGAATGTATCTTTAAATAGGCATAGGTACATGTACTATTGGATTGCTATGATAATATTAAACAAAGTCGCGGATACCGTACGTCCAATTAAATGGCATGGGTGCTAAATATTTAAGAAAAGATTTTTATTGACTCATCTTAAACAGGTAAACACAATATCAATATGCATTGCACATCGTCATAACATCACAACAATATTCATAAAATTTAGGTTACCGGTACAATAATTTACATACCTGTAATTAATAAAGAAATAGATAGATATGGTATATCAAGGTTGTGGACCCTCTAGAGACCACAGTTTTTATCCAATTTGGATGAAACTTTAAATATATGTTTTTATCATTAAGATCTTGGTTCCTTTTGATAATTATTAACATTAGTGTTACTTTGCTCTTATTTTTTGAAAAAATTTTCACAAGTTGATTTCCTTTATTTTGTTAATGTAGAATGGTAACGAACTGCTCTTTTCATTTTCTTTGTTTTATTTGTTTCGTTTGAATTTGATTTATCTGTTTAGTTTTTGATTGTTTAATTTTTGTTAATGAAGTTGATTCTTTTAAACTTCGTTTTTATTTTTGAACTCTACTTGGTGTAGGTGTTCATCAGGTAATACCTCGACTGAGTTCAATATTGAGATTAGCCGGTTGATTTGTTGGATATAAACCTTTGAATAATAGCGCCTAACAGGCAGCTGTGTTTAATTATGTTCTCCTGATTTTGATTGTTTCTGTGTGTTTGAAGTATATGTTTGTGATATGCGCTTAGAAACACTTCACGTGTAATGAAGCGCTATATAAATCGAACAATAATAATAATAACTAGCATCAGCTGTATACAAACAAACTAGCACATGATGTTAGTCTTCGGTCCAATGACTATCTTGGTGTATTCACATATAATATTGTTAAATAAAGTTTAGCTACTATAGCACACAAACGTGGGTTTGGTTTATATCCAGACAGTAACCACATAACGTAACAATCTAAATGCCAATTTTGTAATCCTAGGCAAAATTCTTTGTACTTGGGTTGTTAATTTTGTAAATCGTTTTCATACTAGATAACAATATCAAGAATCTGAAACGACTGGATTTTCCCCCCTTTATTTTACCACAATATCTCTTTTGTTTTTGTTTTCTATAGGTGATGTTACAGCTTATGTTAGAATTAAAATGGAATTATGTTGGAATAATTTATGAAGACAATGATTACGGTAATGATGCAGCGCAACAGCTCAGAGTATTGGCAACAGCTAAAGGCATCTGTATTCCAGTTTACCATTCTTTCAATAGCATCAACAGTCAGGAAAGCTTTAAAACCTTCCTTAAGGATGTTCTGGATCTGAAACTAGGTGGAATAATCTATATCGGGGATGATGGTCTTGTAAAATCATTACTGGAGCTGTCCACGTCGATAAGTCATGATACTGAAATAATTATGTCCGAATCAAATCGATTAAGCTCATATTACCTCAAAAGAATAGCCAATGAATATTTTTCCATAGCTCGAGGTATGCTTGTAACAAGTGTTCCTAAAATTGACATTAATGAATTTGATGAATATTGGAGGAACATCTATACAATGAATTTTAGTCACACTTGGGTAAATGTTATACCAAATATAGCACAAGAGATCCCCCAGCAATCCGTTTATATGAATTATGCGGTGAAAGGAATTCTGATATTAGCCAATTTGTTTAAGAAACTTCAACAAAAGACATGCACGAACGTCAACGATATAATCTGTTCGCAGCTGAGACAATTGCCCAAGCAGACCTACATCGATGAACTGGGCCAATCCAGAACGAACCTAACCGAAGCATTTCCATTTACCGATCATATGTTCTTGAACACAGTATCACAGGACATAACCTTTGGGGAAAATCGAGAAATCATCTATGGTCCCGAGTATCAAACGTATGAAATTTATAATTTCCAACAATGTAATGGGTTGAATGACTGTGAATTTCTTAAGGTGAGTTCCAGTTCTTTCCTTTCTTCTTATAAACCATTAACACCAATATGAGTTGGTCAAAGGGGTACGATGGCTTAGTGAGTACGGTATCGGGTAACTGACTAGTAGTTTCCGGGTTAGATCCAGGTACTGGCCGAGCAAAGCACGGATTCACCATGTCGGTGATGAAGAAAGGGGGTTATAGCAAGTATGCGCAACACCAAGGTCTACGTGTATACATATTGGCTCGGCAGTTAGAATTTCATGATGAGGAGGCGTGGTACTGGTCCCTCTTTATTTACAAGATTTGTGCAGAAAAGTAGGACTGAAACCCTATTTTATTTTATTTGTGATTTCAGAGAGTAAAACTGTGATCTTGTATTCACTCTGAATCTATTTATTTTCAATACAGGTCGGTAATTACAAAGACGATATTCTGCAAATAAACAAAAGTGTTATACAAAGTTATCCACTTGGAGAAAACCAAGGACCTTACAATCAGCAGCCAACTGCCCAATGTCCTAACGGAACCGACTGTATAAAATGTATTCCGTCTGATATATCTGACCATGTGATATTTGTGGAAGGAGACTGGTATGTTGTGGCCGTTGTCCCTGTGTTTGTACCTGATGAAACAAATACATTACTCTGCACAAACACGATAAGAGATTCTTTAGGAACTGACATCGCTGAAAGCATCAAATTTGCTATTGAGGAGATTAACCACCCAAACAACACATTGATATCTTCTAAAAAGAAAGTAGGGTTGATTGTGATAAATGGTTGTGCATCTGAACTTGTAATTAAAGACAAAATGTTACGTTTACACAAAGGAACTTATCAACTCAGACCCGGAATGAAAAGTTCAGACATTAATCACAGAATTCTTGGTTATGTTGGAGGGATGAGCGGAAGTATGAGTGCGGCCATAGCTGAAGTTCTGGCTAAACTTGGTTACGTTCAAGTATCCTACGCCTCGACCAGCCCACTTCTTAGCGATAGAACTCTGTATCCTTACTTTCTGAGAATACCTACTGCAGACGACCAACAAGCAAAAGTCGTTATTGATATAGTTACCTCCCTTGGTTCAAACATCATCCAGGTTATTTACACCGAGGGTGCCTATGGAGAAGGTGCTTATTCCACATTGGAGAAACTTGGCGAGAACGCGGGCATATGCGTTATAGGTCATAAAGTTCCTGTAGCCACCGACTACACGTTGTATAATGGTTTGCTGGCTAAGTTAAGGGAAACTCCACAAGCTAAGTTAGTGGTGACTTTTGTAAGGTCACATGTTATTGAGCAAGTAGTAAAAGCTGTGACTGAGAGAATGGCGGAAACTGAATTCATATTTATTGGATCTGAAACCTGGGGAAGCAGAGAAAGCGTCATTCCTGAACAGCAACGCAAAGTTTATGGTTCACTGAGTATTGCTTTAGAGTTGCCTCCCATTCCGGCATTCATCTCCTATCTCACCAAGCAAATTATCAATGACCCGTCTGATCCATGGCTCCGTCACTTCTTAGAAAACATGGGAAAGTGCATATTCACCGGAAGTTTCCAAAGAGCGGGAAAAGACGAAGTCATTGGTAAAGCCAGAGAATGTGACTTAGAAAGTTTAGTGATGTCACTTTATGACCAATGGATACCATTTGCTGTGGCCTCAACAAAGGCTTTGGTAAAAGGCTTAGAAAATGTTCTCAGTTCAACAGAATGTGGCCAGCCTGCAACGTCGTGCCCTGAACAAAACCCCACTCTGTTGGCAGAATACATAAAGAAGGTATGTATCCCTTTCTTGTAACGAAAAGATTCTAAGAGCTTAGCTTTCCATAATTTCGATAGATAAGTAGATCAGGAAATGTGACACTACGGTGTCGTTAAATAGATCAATTATGAACTACTTCCCCTTAGTGATACAGCCCGTGATACTGTCGTCTAGAAGTTTTCTTTGACTTCACATCATGATAACAATTTCCAATGTTAAATTAAGACTGGGACACTTTTTACGTTAACGATGTTTTTATATCTTTACAACATCCAGAATACAGGAAACTAGACACACATCTATGACATTAAATATAAGCTACATATAAGTTCTCTCTCCCCAGCTTGTGTTTACTGGATTACGATTAACATGTTTACTGACGTACCCCCTAACATCATATGGCTCTCCTACGACTTAACGAGGTACTCTAATCCGAATGATGTTTATTCCCCAGCCTCTCAGCCCAGGAGGCTGTGGTGTTCCGGGCTTCCCAATGATATCGAAAGGAAATTCAACCGCGCACGTTCGTTATAAAGAAGTTACGTGCATGAGTCATATCGAGCCCCGGGAAATTGACCAGGTACCTCCTTTATCGGATTGGTCAGCTGCACAGACGCTACCCTGGATTTCAACACAGTATACTTATATGGGCACCTCGGATGTCGGCTAATTATAACCACGTTTCTAACACATGGGACTACCATATTTGGATTATCAGACTACGATGGCATTGCCCGACTTTAGACCACCAGTGTTGTTAGCCTATTTCTTGTTGTCGGTGGTACTAGCTAACGACGACGAAACATTAACCAGAACCTCTCTACATAACTTAGGTAACCTCCACAGTATATAGACCCCATAGAGTTATAGAAACATATCACGCTTAGAACTTAAAGCCAAATCCCACCAGTGTTAGAGAGAAAGAAATTAAAATTATCAAAATACTTGAATGATCTTCATAACTTTCATCCTGCCTTCATTAGACCGGTTAGTGCAAGAAACTTCATTGCTTCATTCCATCATTCATATATTCGTAGAATATGTTCCAATAGATCTCAACGATTACAATTTTTTTAGCGCATGCGCAGTTTGGTGACTCAAGTAAAGATAAGTAATATTGGATTGGAATTTAGTACGTTTTTATTTTTATATTTACAGAATGTAAAGTTAGATTTATATGGTAAAGGTAGCCAGGAAAGAGTTTTTGATGACAATGGTGATGGTGTTGTCAAATATAAAATAATGCATGTTACTTCAGGAGAAAAACTATACAAACAGGTAGGCATTGCTTTCCTTTTAAAAAATATATAAATATCTTGCTTACAAATAAATTCGGTAAATTTAGCTCTTTCGAGCTTAGCACGGACTTTCTTTCAAGCTGATTTGCTCAAACGTCATGCATACATGGTTTAATATCCCTTTAATGGAGCCACGGTGGCGCACAGACCAGGAAGTTCCAGTTTAGTGTTGAGTATGACATGGCTCTAGTTTACTAACGAACAGATTCCGGTTCCAGGTAAGTATGGCATAGCTCTAGCTCTATATTTATTCAGTAACTTGGCGGAGGGGAGGGGGTCGGAGAACAAGCAAAATATATAAACCCCTCTTCCGGTTTCAAATAAGCACATAATATTAAGGGCAAAAAATGAATAGATAAAAAATGAAATTATATAAATATATAACCCATATTAATATATTCATTTACACATAAATTTAGGGTATTTAAAATCTGCTCATGTATTAGAATTGAATAAACCTATGTGCATGGTTAAACACTGACATATTTTCTTCTCTATGTGTTAGCTTTTTGAATCCCTATAGCAGCATTTTAATGCTTTGCTGTTTAGGATCTAAAATGTCAAGACGCTGAGCATCTTAATATAAGGGAAATTTCAGGACTTAAAATAAGTTGTGATGTCATGCTTTGGTGTTGGCGTACCATTATTTCAAATAGTGGTACGGACAATGTGTCAAGAGTACATTATTTATATTGGACCCGCGTGACGTATTTCATTGAAATGCACGTGCTAACGCACTCGGGCAATTTCAATATATTACTTAATATGTCGCAGTTGACCATTAAACTACACATAGTGCTAAGCATCTTCTATACTGTATTGCGACGTTTGCAGTTAAGATTATTTATTTGTCTTGCAAATTTATGAAAATTTACATTACTGCAGCCCAATCTTAGTTTAGTATGTATAATTTGATTTTTAAATAAAAGATAGGTATTTTTGGATCATGTTTAGAGATTTCTTGTTTTAAATTTTATGAGTGATGAAATTATTATGGACTGATGTAAGCTGTTCCAGATTCGGATAGCTGATGGAATTAATGAATTATAATACTGGTTTACTTCTCAGACTGTATGAGGATAATTTTAATTTAATGTGGTTGGACAAATAATTTGGAACCGTGCTATTAATGATTTTACATATTGTCTGTATTTTTTCCCCTTTTCTCCTTTCATTCAACGTAATAATACCAGTTTCTAGATAAAGTAAACGGTGGTTAGTTCCCTTTACAGCCCCACAATAGTACGTAAGTTGTTAAGTTGAAGGTGTTCTAATTGATCTGTGCAACTATCCCAAATAATGTCGGTGTAGTCTAGATGCGGTAGTATATAAGAAGGGTAAATTATGGAAAGATATTTTCTATTTAACCTGTACTTTAGGGATCTCGAACAAATGATTAACTTTGATACTTTATTATGTGGATATCCCATTCAGGTTTGTGCTGGAAGACAAGTCCTAAGTGGTTTTACACATTGATCAGTGTCCATGTGTGATTTTGTTTCTGTGGGGTTGAAAGAAACCAGAGATTAGGTTTAAGGTTGAAGTTATTGGGGGAGAAAACTGACACCAATATCGAATTCCTCCAATCTGATTGCTTTTATAAATCAACATAGTGAATATATTTTGATATTTTATCAGGTTGGGTCATGGTCCAAATCACAAGGCATCATCTTCAATAAAGATTCGTTATATTACCCTGTTAAAGATTATAATTCTGTATGTCTAACAGATTATACATGCAACAAATGTTTCCCTGACAAGATGGAGTAAGTATGCATAAAATAAAAGTTTTATCATTTTCTATGGACATCATCAACTTTACGGTTAAACAAAATTAACACTTTTATTGAATGTGCCCCGAATTGAACTGGTGGTTTCAGGACGGTTTACCGGTCTGCATAAGTTACCAGTAATGGTAGTTATTTAGGGTGACTCTGGAATATTATACTGAACGAAAAGACATGATTAGTGTTCGGTGGAGGGCCTATTTTAGCGTGCCTCTGAATAAATAATCCGAGTTTTGAACAAATTCTATGTAGCCTTGTGATTCTGGCAAAATTGTATAGGGAAAGTTTGCAATCATTATATAATCATCGACTACTTTCGATGTCTGTTTCAAAAGTTTTGTATTGTTGACGTATTCCCGCCATCTCCCAAAGCACGAAAATTACATAGCAGAACACTGTCAATTTAATTCTGTTACATTTTGGATATAAAAGTGTCAGCGTGATATCATGTTATGGGAAGTCAAACTCAGGAATTTTTACGGAACCCCCAAACACCGGAAACCGTGCTTAGCCAGTAAAACCTTACATCTGGCCGTTTCATATATTTAGTGGACGTTAAACCCCAATTTTATTTCATATATATTATTTAAAATTTCCAGGGAAGAAAGTCCTAAGCAGTCAACAGATGGGATGATTCCTGCTATAGTTGTGTTGGCTGTGCTAACGTGTCTTTTGGGTATTTCTGTAGTCATCCTAGCCATTCATTGTCATCGATCACGTCGTGATAGACTATTACAGGAACCACATTATGCTGAACCGGAAAACATAAAGGAGTTCAACAACAGAAATGATAAAGGTATAACTATATAGCTACTTATATTTTAAAACAAATATATGTATTGATTCTATGATATCATTTACGGAATATAGTAAATGCAAAAATACTTCAGTTACAGTTAGACCAATCAGGCCATATCATGTTTCATTGGCGTGCAGAAAGGTGGCAGATGGTACCCAACCAAAGGGCGAATTTGTTTCACAAGCTGATGTTCTTAATTTGAATTAAACGTTTACTTCATCTGTTTTTACATATTTAAAATGTGCCCCTGTCTCACATTTCTGAATACTAGACCTCATGATTAACATACAAACAAAAATGAAATGAAATGGGGTTTAACGTCCTACTGTTCTGCTCCTATACTGGGCTAATGAAGACGGGCATAAGCCATACAGTGTGCTATGAGGGAAATTTTGCCCGGGCAGCGGCACTATCGCCTACTCTTACATCGAATTCCAACTGCCAAGGGATCTTTTACGTGCATTCCAATGTATACACGGGACCTCGGTTTTTCGTATCATCCGAAGGACTAGACAGCTGTCCTTGTCAGGCCCTCCGTCCTGCATCACTGACAGGGAGAAATCACGCCGGAAAATCTGGATGAACTTTCTCGGCCAATGCAGGGATCGAACACCCGACCTCCAGGCTAGCGAGCCAGCGTCTTACCCACTTAGCCACGTGATCCCCTAACATACAATCAAGGAGTTGACCCCCAACATCAGCGAACCTGTGAACGCCACTGTTCTGTTCTGGTGATGAATCTAATTTACTTACTTTCATTATGGTTATTATTACAGGCAGAAATTCGTCCAATCAGATTACTTCAGGTATGTACTTAGCAGCCCCATCCAATAGCGGTACAGGATCGCACGCTGGTTCTGCAGAGGATATGTATTTAACACCCCAACCACCTCAACCAGATGATACCTATTTAACACCTCAAGCATGTCGATCAACATCAGCACAGTTATCTAGTATTTAATAATCAAAAACAAGATGGAGTAGATCAACAATCATGTGAAAACCTTCTGTGGGGGTTTACTTTTCCTATCTGTAGTGCCTTATTGTGTTGGTGAAGCCTTTGTAGACTAGATGTTTGCTGAGAAAGTTTTTCGCGATTTGTCAAGATGGCATTTCACTAACCAGTCTAACAAAAGAAGTGTGGCTGATCCTTCTGATCTAAGTAATATTTGTTGGACAGAGATTCGATAACCATGATTTTAGGGCGGAATGATCAAGGAAAGAAGCAAAAGAATATGTCTTTGATCAGCTCCCGCTACAAGCCATGCTAACATTCACTATATAGAATGTGGTATACCCCAAGTATCAATCACACGGACATTATTATTATTGTTTTGGTACACGGACATCTGCATTTCAAAATCACTCGTGGTTGCTGCCATAAAACGACTTGATTATAAGTATCAGTTGCACGAACACGCTGTCTGTGAATATTAAATATTGAGCTTCTTTTACCAAGAACGAAACTTGTCCCCGAGCGTTGCTGATCTCCTTACTGTTCTTGTGTTAGGGGCGAGGCTCGTTGAAAGACGCCCAACGGCACCGTCAATTGAAGTACAATCTACCTGAAACTTGGCATGATTGTTTCTTAGACAAATGCACATCCCTTGAAATTGCGCATCGATTTTTGATATAATGCCACCATTCCAAGATAGCGGTGATGAAATGAAATGGGATTTAACGTCCTACTATTTTGCTCCGAACTGGGCTAATGAAGACAGGCATACGCCTTACAGTGTGCTATGAGGGAAATTTTGCCCGGATAGTGGCACTACGGCTTACTCTTATATCGAATTCCAACTGTCAAGGGATCTTTTACGTGCACGCCAATGTGTACACGGGACCTCGGTTTTTTCGTCTCATCCGAATGACTAGACAGCTGTCCTTGTATTATAGCGGTGATGACACCATGTTTACTTCGTTTAAAAACGGAATTCCAAGGAAGTCTCTTTTTTTTTGTTTTTATGAAGAAGGACATCCTGAATATAAATTTTATGAATCTATCCTTATAATAATTTATTATTTTTACCCGATATTTTCATATATTCATTAATGTATATCTTATTTAATGACAATACCAAAGTAAGGCAGTATGCCTTCTCATTATAGTTATCGATTTTATTATTTCGTGGAAAACCTTTTCAGCCAATGTTATCTCCATTCAAAGTTATCTGCTTTTTAATAATTTTGTTTTTCATGTTTAATAATTTTATCATGAAAAATACTAATTATATCTAAATAAACATATATTTATAAGAGTTGTATCCCTTTTAGCGAATTCTATCTCCATTCAAAGTAATCTGCCTTATGAGAAATTGTTTTATATTTATTCATTTTATCATGTAAAACTGCTAATTATGTCTAAAAACATATATTTACGGGCGTACAAGAAAAGACAAAGTTTAGAGAGCCCTGGTGGTGCGGGTTGACTCGGTACCCGGTTTCGCATAGATTGAATGAACCTTTTTTTTATAACAGATGACCATCAATTTAGCATGTAGTTTCATTTTTGGTAGATTATTTTATTTTTCTCATTAATAATGTGTGTGTTCAGTGGTAGCGCTGTCTGTGGTTGAGAGCCTTCAGCTCACGAAAATTTGAGGAAAGTTGGAGCCGTGCAACGATACAAGAATTAACGTCAGTGGCAGACACACTCGAATTCCCTCTGAAAATCACATCTTCTAAAAAACTGTAACCTCTGCGACGTTCACAAGGTTCATATAAGGGGGCTTAGCTGCCCCAATGGTTCTCAACACATGTGATAAATATCCCTTAAAGTTGCAATTGCAAATTTTCAAGTTATATTTTTAAAATGTATTAAAATAAAGCCTTAAAAAAGATGGTATCCATAAACAGTCCTACCTTGTTAAAGAATAATCCTATTAATCCTTTAATTCGCTATTGCCATCTAAGAAATAGGCAAAAATATCATTTTTAACTTCAAATTCCATCGTTGGAAAATGGCTGCCCCATGTTGTCAATAGCAAAACAGGGGAGTTAATTGTGTTGTTATTTCCTATGTCATAGATTTTTAAGGGTGGGAAATAATGCCCATGATCGTAAAATAGTGATTTGATAACCTATTGAGCAAAAGACATAGAAATAATTATGTTTTGACTTTCTTAGAAAATTTGAAATTCTCGCTTTAAAGATTGTGGTATCCATCACGTTTGGGGAAAAAGGTACTTTACGAAACACCTAATTTGAAAAGAAAAAATGAAATCGCATTAATAAAAAAATAAAAAATGTTGACATACATGTAATTCGACCATACCGAAATGTTGACGAATAAAAATGTAAAAAAATCAACAAAGATGAAGATTGTATTTATTTAAAATATTTACGAAATATTTAATATTGGCACAACAGGAATATGAACAAAAAGGGTGCACAAAAATTAACAATATATTATTTTTAACAAAACAAATAAACAATTATCAAAGCAAATTATTCTACTGTCACTGTATTTGGAAACATCACAAAATTTCAAATGAAATGGGGTTTAACGTCCTACTGTTTGCAAAATTTCAACACTTACGTCCAGAAGTATAACTCGCTGTACTTGGTGGGTGAGGTGAAGGACACACGGATAGAAAATGACAAATTAAATGTTGAATCATAAACTGGGCTGGGTCGAGATCTATCCGCGGATTATTTGTCTGGACACACGTGTTGAAATTTTGCGACTGTCCCTTCAAGCATTAATATTGTATGTACAACCACGTTATGAATATAAAAAGTCACTGGCTCTATCTTCAAACATTAAACATTAATATTCTATATACAACCATATTATAAGTATAAAAATATATATGTATTCGGCTTTCTCTTCAAAAATTAATATTATTGTATACAACCATATTATGAATATAAAAATATAATTGGGTTTCTCTTCAAACATTAATAGTGTATACACAACCATATTATGAGTATAAAAATATAACCGACTTTCTCTTTAAACATTAATTGTTTGTATAACTATAAAAGGTACATGAAATTCCCGTGGACTGAGGATTAATTGCGCCTTTCTCCATATTTTACACAATAAGAGAACACGGGCTATCAAATTTTCTCTCATCATAGTTCACTTTTCCAAACATTTTTTCACATATTTTTATTTGAGCAAGGTTTTATCATTGAAGGCTAACATACTATACAATATTATCCATGGTACATTGATTTTATGTCGAGGATCTGGGAACATTTAGAGTTTTCAAAATGTCATGAATTATTGTTAAGAAATATAAAAAACGCAAGGTGCATCTGGTAAATTATTTAGGTGAAATGAGAAAATCTCTACAAAGGAAGAAAGGAAAAAGTTGCGGTTAACGTCCACTCGACAGAAAGTAGGCGGGATTAACGCGCGTTTTAATTTTATTTCAACAATTCGCTTTCGGGTACGGGGTTTTAGCTGAGGGAGAAAACCCAAATTACAGGCGGGGAATCGAAACTACACCACTTGACTCAATGACAGACCTGCTAGGTGTTTATTGGATATTTCTCCCAGTTAACCCTCTATAATAGCGAAAAGTTACATTGCAGGACATATAACCTGTCAACATCGAAAGACTTGTTTGACCAACAGAGAAGATACGTTCAGTTAATTCTCAGGTGCCAACGACGTAGCTACCCATCTATTTACATATAGATACATATAAATATAATATAGCCAATATATCGTGTGATACTCTTCTATAAAAAGTAATTAGACTTGTTTAAGATAGCGATCGTTCCCTGTATTAATCACCTATCGGTGTATCCAGTGGATTCATGTATCTAAACATGAAGCACAAAATAGGATAGCGCACAAAGCGCGGAATTACCTCCGAACGGTGCCTATGTCTAAACTTAGATGTTGATTAAAATTGATAAGGATCTGTAGGATCCTTCAAGAAATCAAATCTAGCTTTTCCGGACACATAACATATATATGCTAACCACGGTATCGGCTAAGTCAATAGGGCTCTATCCTGTATGACCCCAATGCTTCACACCGAATCTGAAAAAAAACCCCGAATCCTCAAAAGAAGAGGGGACATAATATGCCCATACTTAAATGTTGCTGAATTCAAAATAAAAACTGTCTTCAACTCCACGTCCATACTGCGACTGAGTGAGTTCTCTCACATAATCGTTTCGATCACGAACGAACACGGGTTGAATATGATCCGAACAATGAACGTTTCTCTCGAATCCTAAATTGTTCTGTCCTCCAACAGACGCCTCCTTCTCTTCCATGTTTAAGAAAGATATTCTGTGATCAATAATATCCGAATCCGTTGATATTGTTGATCTTGGCCGTTTTGGCAGTGGGGGTTTCTCGTTCTCATAACCACATGTAGTGCCATCTTCAGAACTTGGGGTCAAATAGCTATCATAATCCTTTGATGTATTACTTCCTAAAATGAAATGAAATGAAATGGGGTTTAACGTCCTACTGTTCTGCTCCTAACCTGGGCTAATGAAGACGGGCATACGCCATACAGTGTGCTATGAGGGAAATTTTGCCCGGGCAGTGGCGCTACGGCCTACTCTTATATCGAATTCCAACTGCCAAGGGATCTTTTACGTGCACGCCAATGTGTACACGGGACCTTGGTTTTTCGTCCCATCCGAACGACTAGAAATGGGGTTAAACGTCCAACTGCTCTGCACTGACTGGGACAATGAAGACGGGCGTACGCCATACAGTGTGCTATGAGGAAAAATTTGCTCGGATAGCGGCGCTGCATTCTACTCTTAATTTGAATTACAACTGTCACCGCTTAGCCGTCGCGGTTCCTCGTCCTGAAAAGGAACACTGTTTCATGAGAAATATCTCTTTGAATATTTTGGATATTTTGCTACACTGACACCCTGATATACATTTTTTGAAACCGGTCGTTGGTCTATAAAAGTCCTCTTAGTAAGAGGCGTGTCGATAGTTACCTTTAGTCTTTAATTTCCTTTCAGTAATAGTGGTGTCGATAGTTATTTTTACTCTTTATATTACTCTCAGTAAGAGGCATAGGCGTACGGGGAAATTTTTGACTGGGGGGGGGGGGGGGTTGGTGCCCAAAAAATGTAGTTAGGTTCTTAGTATGTTACATAATAGTAATAAATTCGCTGTTAAATTGGACACATTCAAGAATACAATTTTTTTTTATACAAATTTTACAAAGTACAATTGTGTGCCCAAATTTTCCCAGCATTTGGTGCCCAAAATGGGGGGGGGGGGCGGCCGCCCCCAGCCCCCCCCCCCCCCCAGCTCGTACGCCTATGGTAAGAGGGGTGTCGATAGTTACTTTGACTCTTTAAATTTCCATCAGTAATAGTGGTTTCGATAGCTACTTTTACTCTTTATATTACTCTCAGTGAGAAGGGTGTCGATAGTTACTTTCACTATTTAAATTTCTCTCAGTGAGAAGGGTGTCGATAGTTACTTTTACTCTTTAATTCAGTAAGAGGGGTATAGATAATTATTTTTTTGTCTCAGTAAGAGAGGTGTCGATGTTTATCTTTACTCTTTAAATTCCATTCAGTAAGAAGGGTGTCGAGGTATACCCCCACCCCCCGCCACCCCCTTGCTCAAATTTCTTAACACAGCCTTAATGATAAAATTAGCAGGCATCGATAGTTACCTTTAGTTTTTAAATTCCTCGCAGTAAGAGGGGTGTCTGGGTAGTTGTAGATTTCGTTGTGTTTGTGCCGTTTCAATTTTCTTACTTGATAAATCAAAACAGCCATAATTACTAACGTCACTAATAACAGCAAACCTAATATCACCATTACATAAATCGACCAGTCTGTAGATGATGTTTGTTGTTGCCTGCAAATAAAAACCATTACTTGTGATGTGCGATAAGAAGGCGGAGAGGTTATTTTGCCATGGTAGTGGCGTTTTCGACACTTTTTCTTTGGTTTTCAATTAAAAGGGTTCTATAACGCACATGTGTACATTCATGGCGTGGACCTGGCGATTTCGACAGTAAGCAGATACCTTTGTTAATTGTCCATACGTCATTCCTGACATGGCAATCAAAAACCAAGCGGACTACTCTAACCCACGAGAGCCTCTTGATTGACATGAAACATATGGCAAACATTTTGAACCAAGATACTCCTCTGTTAATTGACCGCATATAAATGCTTAGCTAATTCACAGACAACGAATTAGTTCAATCTGGCTGCAGGGAAGAATTGAGAAGGAACTTGCGGGTGTGCTAGGCTCGGGGGGTCCAAAAAGCACTCCCATCTGGCCTATTTTGGTCTTGAATTTACGTTGTCTTTAATGAATTTGTAACATTGCCACACTCTAAGGTTTGGTACTGAGGATATACACTAGAAAACACCACTTACAAAAATGGCTGTTCATTGGTCTCCGACTGACCCCAGTCAGTCTCTAACTGGCTGAAAATTGTCCAGAATTTATTTACAGTATATAGATATCTCGAATTGGGGATATATCCACGAGTTGATATTTTGTCATATACTTACACTGATGTTGGTGGGAAACACTTGCTACATTCATATTGTGTTAAGCAATCTGATTTATATTCTGTTTCCGGATAAGTCAACATTCCTTTGTTGAAGATGATACCTTGTGACTTTGACCACGACCCAATCTATCAAAGACAGTAACATGAAAAGTATTAAAATATGTATGACTGCATTAAATGGATATGAAATAGAATAAAATGGGTATGAAAAAGAATGGAATGGGATTGGGCGTCCTACATTTAAGCAATAACCGGGTTAATGATGAAGGGGAAAATTGTAACCGGATGGTTTAACGTCCACTCGACACAAACTAGGTCATTTCGGGACTAACATATGGTTCAATTTTATTTCCATAATTCGCTTGCACGTAGGGGTCTTTAGCAGTGAGAGGAAACCGGAGGACCCGGAGAAAACCCACGAAGTTGGACAGGCGACCCTACTCCTTGTCATGTATAACCGGGAATTCGAAACCACGCCAGTTGACTCAATGACAGACTTTATGATACAGCGCGCACGTGCTAACCATTCAGCCATCCCCCCCCCCCCGAAAAAGATAAAGCATTGCCTACTTGTATATATGGTTTCTCGTCAGGAGTCATATGCATTATTTTGTATTTGACAACACCATCGCCATTATCATCAAAAACTCTTTCCTGGCTACCTTTGCCATATAAATCTAACCTTACGTTCTGTAAATATAAAAAAAACATACTAAAGTCCAATCAAATATCACTACTGTCTTTACTCCAAGCCATGAATTTGCTCATTCGTTAAGATCAGTATACCAATATTCCGGGGAACTATTTTGTCCAAACATTTATGAAAGATGATCCATTCTACGAATGAATAGATGAATCGAGTTTAAGGTACTACGTTTTTACACTTACCAGTCTAACATTTAGAGAATTTAGGTATTTTGATAAAGAGATGCCAAATATTTACTGAAGTTGATCGATTCTACGAAAGATATTAAGAATGAATGATTGCATGAAATGGTGTTTAAGGTCCTACGTTTCGACTCCAGTCTCTCTATGATTACTACTCAGTTTCATTTTAATGTCTTTCTGTTTAACTTTGGTTGGCTTTGTCGTCAGGGTTAGGCTTTGCTATATGTCCTGACCTAATTATCTATCGAAATTATGGAACGCTACGCACATACACTTTCGTAACAAAGAAATGGATAAATACCTTCTTCATATAATCTGCCAGCGTCATGGGATTTTGTTCAGGGCACGACGTTCCAGGCTTGCCACATTCTGTTGAACTGAGAACATTTTCTAAGCCTTTAACCAAAGCTCTTGTCGAGGCCACAGTAAATGGTATCCATTGGTCATAAAGTGACTTCACTAAACTTTCTATGTCACACTCTTTGGTTTTACCAATGTCTTCGTCTTTCCCAGCCCTTTGGAAACTTCCGGTGAATATGCACTTCCCCCTTTTTTCTAAGAAGTGACGGAGCCATGGATCAGATGGGTCATTGATATTTTGCTTGGTGAGATAAGAGATGAATGCTGGAATAGGAGGCAACTCTAAAGCAATACTCAGTGAACCATAAACTTTGCGTTGCTGTTCAGGAATGACACTTTCTCTGCTTCCCCATGTTTCAGATCCAATAAATAAGAATTCACTTTCCGCCATTCTTTCAGTAATTGATTCTACTACTTGTTTAATAACATGAGACCTTACAAAAGTCACCACTAACTTAGCTTGTGGGATTTCTCTTAACTTAGCCAGCAAACCATTATACAACGTATAGTCGGTGGTAACAGGGACTTTATGACCTATAACGCATACTTCTGCGTCCTTGCCAAGTTTCTCCAATGTGGAATAAGCACCTTCTCCATAGGCACCCTCGGTGTAAATAACCTGGATGATGTTTGAACCAAGGGAGGTAACTATATCAATAACGACTTTTGCTTGCTGGTCGTCTGCAGTAGGTATTCTCAGAAAGTAGGGATACAGAGTTCTATCGCTTAGAAGTGGGCTAGTCGAGGCATAGGATACTTGGACGTAACCAAGTTTAGCCAGAACTTCAGCCATGGCCCCACTCATACTACCGCTCATCCCTCCAACATAACCAAGAATTCTGTGATTAATCTCTGAACTTTTCATTCCGGGTCTGAGTTCATAAGTTCCTTTGTGTAAACGTAAAATTTTGTCTTTAATTACAAGTTCTGATGCACACCCATTTATCACAATCAACCCTACTTTCTTTTTAGAAGATATCAATGTGTTGTTTGGATGGTTAATCTCCTCAATAGAAAATTTGATGCTTTCAGCAAGGTCAGTACCTAAAGAATCTCTTATGGTGCTGGTACAGAGAAATGTATTTGTTTCATCGGGTATAAACACAGGGACAACCGCCACAACGTACCAATCCCCTTCCACAAATATCACATGGTCAGATATATCAGACGGAATACATTTGATACAGTCGGTTCCGTTAGGACATTGGGCAGTTGGTTGCTGATTGTAAGGTCCTTGGTTTTCTCCAAGTGGATAACTTTGTATAACACTTTTGTTTATTTTCAGAATATCGTCTTTGTAATTACCGACCTGTATTGAAAATAAATTGATTGAGAGTGAATGCAAGATGACAGTTTTACTCTCTGAAATCACAAATGAAATGAAATGAAATGGGGTTTCAGCCCTGCACAAACCTTGTTAATAAAGCGGGGCTATCACTGTGCAGCGTGCGAAGAGTGGAATGTTTTTCCAGACAGAGTCGTTTTTCTCCTCGTCCTGGAATTCTAACTGTTCTCGGCCAGTACCTCTACCGAAGCCGAGGACTACTGGTTGGTTAGTCGATACCGTACTTATTAAGCCTGCTTTTAAATTACATTGGTGTGAATGATTTAGAGGAAAGAACCGGTACTCACCTTAACAAATTCACAGTCATTCAGTCTATTACATTGTTGGAAATTATAAACTTCATACGTTTGATACTCGGGACCGTAGATGATTTCTCGATTTTCCCCAAAGGTTATATCCTGTGATACTGTGTTCAAGAACATCTGATCGGTAAAGGGAAATGCTTCGGAAAGATTCGTTCTGGATCGACCCAGTTCATCGATGTAGGTCTGCTTGGGTAAACGCCTCAGCTGGGAACAGATTATATCGTTGACGTCCGTGCAGGTCTCTTGTTGAAGTTGCTTAAATAGATTGGCTAATATCAAAATTCCTTTTACCGCATAATTTATATAAACAGATTGCTGGGGAATCTGTTGTGCTATATTTGGCATAACATTTAGCCAAGTGTGACTAAACTTCCTGGTAAGGATGTTCCTCCAATAGTCATCAAATTCATGAATGTCAATTTTAGGGGTACTTGTTACAAGCATGCCTCGCGCTATAGGAAAATAGTCATTGGCTATTCTTTTGAGGTAATATGAGCTTAGTCGATTTGATTCGGACATAATTATTTCAGTATCATGACTTATCGACGTGGACAGCTCCAGAAATGATTTTACAAGACCATCATCCCCGATATAGATTATTCCACCTAGTTTCAGATCCAGAACATCCTTAAGGAAAGCTTTAAAGCTTTCCTCACTGTTGGCGCTATTGAAAGAATGGTAAACTGGAATACAGATGCCGTTAGCTGTTGCCAGTACTCTGAGTTCTTGCGCTGCATCATGACCATAAGCAATGTCTTCATAAATTATTCCAACATAATTCCATTTTAATTCTAACATAAGCTGTAACATCACCTATAGAAAACAAAATGGAGAGTCTGGTAAATTAACAGAGAAGTTGGCTTGTTTCAGATTCTTGATTTTTTTGTTATTATCTAGTATTATAACAGTTTACAAAATGAACAACCGCTGTACAAAGTAGTTCGCCTATAATTAACAAACTGGGATTCCGACTGTGACATTATGGAGTTAACTGGTAGGATATATTTATAAACCAAGCCACTTGATTAAAAACTATGTGCACACACCAAGATAGTCGTTGGACCGAATACTATGATGATAGTACGGCTGCTGCTTTTTATATACAGCTGATGGCAGTTCCCATGTAACGCTAGGATCTGATCTAATGAATATAGAATCAAGATAAACTTTTTATAACCGTGAATTTCAAAGATAGGGTTTCTTACGATCAGGCCTGGAAATAACGCTTTTAGATGTACCTGACAAAATGTCAGGCACTAATGAAATAGTACCTGGCATTTTCAACTTAGTGCCGGACATGTGTTAATAATATCAGCAAAAACGACATATCAGTGCCGGATAAAATGACAGGCACCAGAGGTTTTGTGCCTGAGAAAGCCTGAATCTGTGCCTGACATTGTCAGTGACAGGTGCCGTATTTCCAGGCTTGTTTATGATAGTATGTTTGTAAAACGATAATTTATGAATAAATAATAATAATCAATATGAAATATGCTATTTCAACTAAATAGTGATTCTTATGAATATATGTTTGTAGGTTCCTGAATACCTACTTGAACTTGAACAGAATCAGGGGGGATAACTCTATAAAGGTTTTTATAAATGGACTGGTCCGCGAGCTTGGATGAAGTAGCTCCGTAACTCAACATCAACAGGCGATCGGCCTCTGGTAAAGTACTAAACAGACGTGACATATCTTTAGTTTCGGAACTAAATGTTGGACCAAGTATAGCTGGAATGAAATAAAACAATGAATTAACGATACATTATGTAAGAGCCAATTGCATGTCTTTATTTTGGCAGAGATTTAAATGGATTATACCCTCCCTCCCCCGCGATTTAACGATAAAATGGACAAAGGAGGCTAAGTCTTCAGTTTCCAGTACCTAGCAATAATAAACAATCTGTGCAACATCTTCCATAACTTCGTTCAGAATAAATTAATTTGAATGACATTCTCAATATGTTCATTTTTATTATTGTCCGGATGTAAATTACCTGAAATATGGGAAATATAGTTCTCTTGCTTTTATAATTTAGACGACTTCAGCTTTATTTAAATTTTGTCAGCGTTAGTCAAGGGTCACATCAATTATCATTCTGGTGAAATATCTTGGTTTAAATATAATGATGTCTCATGTTGCATGGAAGTGAAATCCATGAAATAGTGAAAGAAATATTTTTGGCTGTATGTAGGGTATTACATGAAGGTCTTGATAAGATGTACGGAGTTGAATAAAGACAGCATGATAATATATTATCCATGCGCAGGCCTTTAATGATACAGCCATTATGGACCGTATATAGATGGACGGGCAACGAGTTCCTTTGGTTGGATTCTCTGCCGCTCGCGCGCCACACGACGACATCTCAATGCACTGCGGGATTTTATACAGATTAATTTCTCAACCCGATAAATATTTCTATCCAGTAGTGACGAATTTATCCAGTTTAGAACTTGAATTATTATAGCAAGAAGGAACTGATCTCTGTCCAAATATTACATAATGCATCTTTAACACCCATTACAATATATATATATATATATATATATATATATATAGTGAATTTAGGAAACTAAAATCTGTTTGGGCTGAAAGATTAGAAGCTATCGAAGTTTTGGTTTGTCAGACTACTGATATATCTTGGTGTATTGGTTTGCCAACAAGGACAGGTGATAAAATGTTAACACCTAAATGCAAACCGCCAAAATAAACAAATTACTTACAAAACAGAACAGCGGATTGGTTATCATTATTATAAGTCTGTGATAACTGAATTGCACTAGACACAGCTCTTTCTGGCATTCCACATGTTTCAAAAGCGTGTATACCTGTAAATATATAGTACAATGATAAAAATACAATAAGAATACATAATCGTGTCGACCCCCAGCCAGTGGTGATTATACAAAAACAGAATACATAATCGATGTTGCCACAGGATTGTGTAATAAAATATATAGTTTGGATTGGCTTGCTATTTGTATTAGGATATTGAAAGGAAGAAAACATAACGATAAATTCAAATTTATAAAAATAGATAAATATTCATAAAGTAAATGAATCATTCTAATAAAAAGGATTCACTAAATTGGAACGGTCCAGAAAATATGAAAGGCTAAAGTTTACACGAATATATCTTAGTAAAATATTGTGAATTAGACCAAATATCAGCTTGTAATTTATTAATCGCATGTCAAACTGTTTTAATAATACAGTATCACTTTTCATATTATTTCATGCATCAGCTTTTCATAATGAGATTATAAAAGACACAGAACCCTTCAATTCTACGGGTAGCGGTGTGTCTAATTAAGGAATGATAAACTCTCGAATATAAGTGTTAACAAATATCTATCTTCTATATTATCTATATATATATATATACATGTATTTGCGACTGTCGTTTGTCTGTCTGTCTGTCTGTCTGTTCGTGGTTGGCGGCTACACTAGGTCTGTCCCGAGTCTGAAATCTGGGGTATAGGGGTAGCTCGGACCAGGGAGTAACATAGGCCAGGTGGCGTTAGTCTACCACTTCCGGTTTCAGAGTTATGACCCCCGAGCGAAGCCGGTCTGTTCGGGGTTGGTGGCTACACTAGGTCTGCCCCGAGTCTGAAATTTGGGGTATAGGGGTAGCTCGGACCGAGGAGTAACATAGGCCATGTGGCGTTAGTCTACCACTTCCGGTTTCGGAGTTGTGACCCCCGAGCGAAGCCGGTCTGTTCGGGGTTGGCGGCTACACAAGGTCTGCCCCGATTCTGAAATTTGGGGTATAGGGGTAGCTCGGACCGGGGAGTAACATAGGCCAGGTGGCGTTAGTCTACCACTTCCGGTTTCGGAGTTATGACCCCCGATCGAAGCCGGGTATCCTGCTAGTAAATGAAAAAATCTGAGTTTAGGGGACAATGTACATGGTTTAGTATGGAGTAACATAGGCCAGGTGGCGTTAGTCTACCACTTCCGGTTTTGGAGTTATGACCCCGAGCGAAGCCGGGTATCCTGCTAGTATATTATATATATATATTTGTGACTGTCGTTTGTCTGTCTGCCTGTCTATCTGTTCGGGGTTGGCGACTACACTAGGTCTGCCCCGAGTCCGAAATTTGGGGTATAGGGGTAGCTCGGACCGGGGAGTAACATAGGCCAGGTGACGTTAGTCTACCATTTCCGGTTTCGGAGTTATGACCCCCGAGCGAAGCCGGTCTGTTCGGGGTTGGCGGCTTAACTAGGTCTGCCCCAAGTTGAAATTTTGGGTATAGGGGTAGCTCGGACCGGGGAGTAACATAGGCCAGGTGGCGTTAGTCTACCACTTCCGGAGTTATGACCCCCGAGCGAAGCCGGTCTGTTCGGGGTTGGCGGCTACACTAGGTCTGCCCCGAGTCTGAAATTTGGGGTATAGGGGTAGCTCGGACCGGGGAGTAACATAGGCCAGGTGGCGTTAGTCTACCACTTCCGGTTTCGGAGTTATGACCCCCGAGCGAAGCCGGGTATCCTGCTAGTAAACATATAAATAATACGTTACTCCGTCAAACTGTAGCCGGTGAAACCCCCCACCCCACACCACCCTACACCACCCACTCCCCTAACTTCAATAAACAATATTAGAGTCAATTTGTATTAAGCTGGACATATATTAATAAATAGAAAATAACACTAATTACCTATTTTATGCCCTCCGGGTAAAAATGCGTTGTTATTCAGTTTATCTATGATCCATCTCACAGCTTCAAATTCCTGTATAGAATATGGATCAACAGTATTGGAACAACCACTGGGTCCTCCTGAGACATAAACATTAAAGAATCCACCAATATATACACTGGCATCTTCAGGATATCGGATCTGGTCCTGTGAGTATGTTCCAGGTAGACATCCATAGAAACAGAGTACTAGTAATATTGTTCTCATATTGTCCGGATGTAAATTACCTGAAATATGGGAAATATAGTTCTATTGCTTTTATAATTTAGACGACTTCAGCTTTATTTAAATTTTGTCAGCGTTAGTCAAGGGTCACATCAAGTATCATTCTGGTGAAATATCTTGGTTTAAATATATAGAATGATGTCTCATGTTGCATGGAAGTGAAATCCATGAAATAGTGAAAGAAATATTTTTGGCTGTATGTAGGGTATTACATGAAGGTCTTGATAAGATGTACGGAGTTGAATAAAGACAGCATGATAATATATTATCCATGCGCAGGCCTTTAATGATACAACCATTATGGACCGTATATAGATGGGCGGGCAACGAGTTCCTTTGGTTGGATTCTTATAATTACACGGTAATTGTTCAACCCGATAAATATTTCTATCCAGTAAGGACGAATTTATCCAGTTTAGTACTTTGAAATTTCCAAATGCAGCAGATGATAATTTTGAAATGATCGATTTCAATATTTTCGTAGTTTTTGTAAGCACTTTAGTTTTTCTTAATAATACAAATTCCCGTATGTGTGAAGGATTTTAAAATTATGAAAATAAAGTTCAGGTACCATAATATCCGGAATGATGATTAATTGTGCAGAATTAAAAATTAAAAGAGTGTTTTAGTAGGTTTAATTTTTAACGAAAACTCGACATGTTTTTTTTTCGGATTCACATGGGCGCATCCGAAGTAAACAAAGACGATGGTTTGATACATTTACACCCCAATCATCAGTAGTCTATCTCTGTATGTTTTGAAAAAAAGAGTAACAAGAGTAATAAAACTATTATGAATTGATTTCTTCTTCTTTGCTTTTAAACTTAATACTGGTAACTGCGCGAAGGGAGGTCATTGTATTTTAGTCACGGTTGTCAGGTGTACTTTTTGCCGCGGCACAGAATTCTAAAGGCTTCGTGGTCGTTACCTGTCCATCTATACACGGTCCATGATATAAATAATAAAATCATTCAATAAAAATAACAGTACACTATCCGTGCGTAGACTTTAAAAGATATAACTAAAACTGTGAAATTAGAACTAGGAAAACGAGCTTTCTCATTCTCATTCCCCTACCTGTGGAATAATCTTCCCAAAGAATTTCGAAGGGTTAAATCTGTTGACCAATTTAAACACGAGTTGAAAACACACCTATTCAACAATTAGTTCCTTCATAGTGTTAGTTAATTTAGAAACTTTAGTGTAATCTTGCGCTATATAAAAAATCTGTTATTACTTTGCTTCACATTCTTTTCAAACATTACAGGATGTAAATTTGAAAGGGAGTTTCAAAATTAAAAAGTCCCTACTCATGAATAAAACAAAATTGCTTTTAATGGACTTTTAAAGTGAACATTTGTGAAATTATATCAATATGATCTTCACGTGAATATGTTAATTGGTCAGTGAAGATGATCATATGGCATATATATATAAACCGGATACGAAATCTATGAATAATTTATTTTTACTTTTCATGGTCATGATTTGTATAAAATTGTATAACAATAGATATTTTACAGTGAATAATAAGGATCCCAATATTAAGTGCAGCAGGGCCGCACTACACGCAAAATAAACCCGACAGGACAAACCTGCGGACAAGACAAGTTACCTAGACATTGCAAGAAATATACAACAATTCTCTATGCACTGAACCCACACAATATATATATATAATATATATATTAAAGTAAATAAAGTAGATAAATGCATAAATAAATAAAAAAATCCGTCCAGATAAAAAATTCTCCACTTAACTTCATTCTGACATACATTAAATCCTATAAGCTAGCTGTCTGCCTTCTATGGGCGTCTTCAGATATTAATAATGTATACTCTGCCTTCTATGGGCGTCTTCAGATAATATATATATATATCCAGAAATATTAGCACAACCGTAAAGCTGCACTACTTTGTTTCTCGGTAAACGATGAAAAGATAAAAGGTATGCCGAGACAAACTGATTTCAACACTGGTTTAATAACATTTTAACATTTTAAAGTACTTTTCGTCCGTCTTGGGACTATTCATAAATAATGTCATTGTATAAAGATGGACAGTATATAGTATAATTATACATATTTACATAGTAACACTGTGGTTTTAATTGGTTATAGTTACCATTGTCTATGGTTACATAGTATATCGTTAACTAATAGAAAACATGTACACATGTGTGTTAATATGTAGTATATGGGTTCAATTTATGATATATATATATACGATATGGTTTCCTCACAGTGCTAAAGACCCCTACGCGCAAGTGAATTAATGAAATAAAATTACACAATATTTATGTTAGTCCCGAAATGCCTTAGTTTGTGTCGAGTGGACGTTAAACACCATCCCTCGAAAAAACAGGTGCTTGCTGTTAAATTTAAAGATACCTTCCCGTGTACAAACTGTGTGATTTGGTGATATATTTGGACTAAACACATATTCAAACTAATTAATCTATCAAAAGTTTGCTTCAAATCCCTCTCAAAACATTGTATTCACCAGGAAATACCCAAAGCTATACAAAAATCTATTAAAGAAGTCATGTTTTTGTCACGTGATTTCGTTGCCGCGGTACTTAGCAACGGGTGCAAAGACGGAGGAGAATTAATTTCATATAAATATCGAAGCCTAAGTAAATTCTCGGATTATCCTCTATCCATCTCTTTTTCCCTGAGTTTTATCTCAGGAACTGTTGTACGTTTCAATCTCTCACTTTTTCCACGTGCTCTCACTATCAAGTTTATCAACATATACACCAGGCGCTTACTTGCGCCAAGTGGTCGGACAATCTCTGCGTACAACCTTTTGCGTCACTAGAGCAGACAGTCCTTAATCGCCAGGGCGACCTTCGGTTGCACAGATTTTCGTACTATAGTCGAACCATCTGCATGCGAATGGCATTTAGTTTAACCAGTGGTCGTGATCAGCCGTACCATGCGATAAAGCACGGTCGGGATAGTTCAAAGATGGCTGACAAAACTGACACTTGAGAAGATTTTCTGAAAAATATAATAAAATTGCCGATTGCCGTTGCGTTATTTACACCTTGGTCGGTATTATAGGGCCCATGGTAACACCCGAAAGTTAGTGAATGGGCATTGTAGTAAGATGTTAAATTTGATTTTTTTTTTCGTCTTTTTTTGATGAATTTGACAGATTAGGATCTTCTTATTCGAATATATATAGGCACACGACAAAAAACTGTACGTGTGAAATGATCTTGGTTGGGTGACATAAATCCAATGAAAAATATTCTGATATTGACTAATCCTATTTGTAACCTATTTTAAGCTTGCTTTCACAACGCAGTATGGAAAATTAATCAGTTTTTAAAAATACATGAGTAAATAGAAGAAAATATAGCAGGCGAAACAACTGACATGGTCGCCACCATATTGAATAGTCAATGGCTAGGGCCATTTGCGTTTGGGTGCTGGTTCAGACTGTAGTCGCGACCATAGTCTACATCCGAAGGTCACCCTGGCTGCCTATTAGTGACGCCTCTCCATGGGTGTTTTTCAAGGAACCCAGTACCTTTCTAGTAAGGTTGGATGTCTCTGCTTTCCATATATACTAACATTACCGTACTTTTATTGGAAATAACCACCCGATAAATACTGAGCTCTTAATCCCTCTTAATAAAATTTATTAACCAACTAATTAATGACATTTTGAACACAGTTCATGCCGGCGTTATGATTTCAAACATGAATTAAATTCACTATATTAATATAAATAGATGGTCGATCTGTGTCGAAATTATATTTATTTTAAAATGGCAAACGTTCAGGTTAATATAAATTGAATAAAATGACAGCATGCCATCCTAATATTTACAAGTTCATTAACTTAATAAAACAAGAACAATCCTATGTCGAAATCACCATTTCACAGATATTATTTGGTGGTACCAAAAGGCCTCGAGTTAAGAAATATCGACAATTTGATACAAGAATTGAACATTTGAAAACACAGTTATTAAATGGCTCTTTAAGTGTAAATCGGTATAGAACAAATATTTCCTATTTAGTGGGGCTGTAAAATGATTGTTATGTTGTAAGGCATTTATTTATAAATCATATAATGCTATTTAATAAAAGTTAAATGTGTAAATTGTAATGCATTTTTATATGTGTAAATCATTTAATGTTATTTAACAAATATTAAATTTGTTAAAATCAATATATTTTTATATGTGTAAGCTATTTAATGTTATTTAATAAAAGTTAAATTTGTTAAAATCAATACAGCTTTAGTCTTAAAAAAGATATGGACTATAGTTTATAACACCACTGTTCTAGGATTAACTCTGGATTAGCGGCAAAATTTGACATCAAAGCCTGCCGGCTAAGTGGGAACACCCCACCATCCTTCCGGGACCGGATTTTTCCAAATTAAAATCTCATTTATTGAATACTTATTTCATAATTAATTATGAAGTACGCTTCGGCCTTTATGTTTCGATTATTTTTGTTGTTTTTTCTTATTTCAACTCTTGACAAGATATAGAGTTGTAAAATCTATACAAGATATAGAGTTGTAAAACCTATACACGACATGCAGTTTTAAAGACTATACAAAATACGCAGTTTTAAAAGTCTATACAAGATATAGAGTTTTAAAGACTATACAAGATATAGAGTTTTAAAGACTATACAAAATACGCAGTTTTAAGTCTATACAAGATATAGAGTTTAAAGCCTACACAAGATATAGAGTTTTAACGAATATACAAGATATGCAGTCTTAAAGAATATACAAGATATGCAATCGTAAATACTATACAAGATAAGCAGCCGTAAAGTCGATACAAGATACAAGTTTTATAATAATCATAGCCAAATAGTTCCTTTAAATAATGAATTATTTTTTTTTTGGAACGTATTTGATTAAAAAAAAGCAAAAAAAAAACTGGAAAGTTCACTTGTTCTAGGGTAAAGCTTGTGGGGACGAACAAACGAGACGGCGGAAGGGAGATGGGAGTGGATAGGTTCTGCAG